ATATACAATCCACCCCGGGCCAGAGTCCTCTTCCCTTCAGGAATGCACAGCTACTGACTTGCCTTTTGTTATGTAATGTGCGCTGAACTGGTGTACTTCTGCTCTGGGGGTGCCCTTCCCCTGCCTTAATCCTGCCTGTGGTCTGGATTGTGAGGGTGGTTCCCCTCTTTCAGGGGATGCATCCTCTGTGTCCCATCACACTGAGACAAAACGTCAGCGTTATGGAAACAAATAAAGTTACCTTTCTTGCACACCGGAGTTTGTGCAAACAAAAGAGAAACAAGTTTACTGCAAAGCATAACACATAGGCCTTGGACAGGTGGCTCAGCTGGTTGGAGCATAGTCCCACACACCAAAAATTTGCGGGTTCAGTCCCCGGTTGGGACATGTATGGGAAGCAACCAATAGAAATTTCTCTCTCACATTGATGTTTCTGTCCCTCTCTTTCTCTCTCTCTGTTTCCGAATAAGCAGAGAAAAGTGCTTCTGAGGAGGCTGCCTCACGGAAGGGCAGACCAGACCTTCACCTTGCCAGAGCCACCCACTCTAAAAAATGACCCCATGGTGGTCCGAGTATGGGCCCTGACTGGTTGACTTACTAACGCCACCGTGTTTCATGCTGTAGCAAACAGCATTTTTCAAAATGGCAATTGTCATCATCACAACAGCCATTTAATGACACAATAGCCCCATTACAGGGAAAAAGAAAAACCGGTGTAGAATATTTCTTTAAAATATATGTGTGTTCATTAAGGAGTTCCAATGTCATTTAGAAATCAAACCACATTGGCTGGTTGTTTACTCAACCACACTGGGATCACATCATTTGCATTTTTTAGCAATTACACGTTGATAAGCCCCCAACGATCTGGTTGACAATCAGCATTCGGATATAAAGTTCACTGATTCTAGGGATTGTTAGGTTAATAATTAACTATATTGATGATTCAGATCCAGATCTAAAGAGTCACTGAGTCAAACTTTTTAGGTGATCAACTGCAGTCCCATGGAAAACTCGCTCTTGCGTCCTTTGATCTTCCAGACCTGCCATTCTGAGTGACTTCCTGGCTCCCCAGGGGGAGCTCTAGCTCAGGTGTCCCTGGGTGGAGCTGCCATATTGGCCTTCAGTTTGGTGCTTAAAAATCTTTACTTTACATTGGGACTTCTGGCCAAGATGGAGATGTAGGTAGACTCAGTGTGCCTCCTCGCACAAGCAAAAGGAGGACAACAACAACTGAAAAACAAAAAACCACCAGAACTGACAGAAAATAGAACTGTATGGAAGTCCAACAACCAAAGAGTTAAAGAAGACATTCTCCCAGACTGGTAAGAGGGGCTGAGTCAGGCAGCTGGAGGAAAAGTAGTGGCAGCTGGTGGACCCAGCGAGGTGGCGGATTGTGTAACTGGCGTGGCGGGCAAGGCTGCAGCCGACCCGCAATGTTGTAGACTGCTCTGCCTGGTTTTAGGAATTGTATCTCGAACCCTTGTGGCTAAGGGCGAGGGACGACCTTTGGAGTGCCAGCCACAGGAGACAAAGCCTGTCTCTGGTAGCAAACACTGCTTCAGTTCCTCTCCCTGCCCCCAAAGCTTGGTTGGAAGTCAATGATGGGTAAGACCCCTCACAGTGGGGGGCAACCTAAGCCAGACTCGATCACTTGGGAGGCCTTCATGGAAGGACTCAGGGGGCTGCAAAAAAGTGCAATGGACTCTCACCGCCCCCCCCCCCGCCCCGGCTTTGACATAGCCTGAGTCCCCATGTCCTCTGGGAGAAGCGCTTCCTGGCTCTAATCCCCTTAAGCCTTAACACCTGATGGGAAGAGGCGCAGCTCCTTGCCTTGCTAGAGCCTGTTCTCGGGAAAAATCAGGCACCACAAAGACTTCCTGATAAATCTGTGAAATCTGCTCTGCTAAGAGTACTTTCATTTATATGTTAAGGGTTCGAGCAGGAAACCCTAAAACTCTGTTCCTGACAGACTCGGACACATAGTAAGCCCTCAGATTTCTTTGAAATGTTATCTACTGTTTGATTCTTGCTGCCCTGTATTCCTGTGTATTACAACCCAATAAAAGGCTATGGAGGAGGGGGTTCGAGGCCTTTTTCACCTCGGAGAAACTAGCTGCTGCTGGCCTTTGTCTCCCCTGAGAAACTGGCCACAGCTCCCTTCTCCTCCCCAAGCAGATTGCGTCATGTCTCTGTCATATTCATTTTCATCTGTGGTAACTGGGAGGACTCGTGAAGAAGTCGCCCCCGCTTCTCAAGGCAGCAGCTGGAGGACCAGGCAGTCCCACATTCATGTGCAGATAAACCAGGCGAAACTGGGGAGCAGGACACACCACGTGACCCAGGGTCCCAGAACAGGGAAGTAAAGTATCACACCACTGATTGAAAACACCTGTGGGGGTTGAGTTGCTGGGAGAAACTCCCAGCCTCACAGCAGAGTTTGTTGGAGAAACTCACAGGGTCCTAGAACATACACAGACCTACCCACATGGGAATCAGCACCAAAAGGGCCAAATTTGTGGGCAGCAGGGGAAGTGACTAAAATCTGGCAGAAAGCACAGCAAGCACCATTGTTCTCTCTTGGACCCCTTCCCCACATACAGAAGCCCAACCGAGTGATGTGGGTTACCCCACCCTGGTGAACACCTAAGGCTCTGCCCCTGACTACATAATAGGCACATCAAGACAAAAAAAAAGGCCCAAACGAAAGAACAGATCAAAGTTCCAGAAAAAAGTACAACCAAGTGACGAAGACATAGCCAACCTATCAGACGCACAGTTCAAAACACTGGTAATCAGGATGCTAACACAATTCGTTGAATTTGGCCACAAATTAGATGAAAAAATGAAGGCTATGCTAAGTAAAATAAAGAAAAATGTACAGGGAATCAATAGTAATGGGAAGGAAACTTGGACTCAAATCAACAATGTAGACCAGAAGGAAGAAACATCCAACCAGAAAAAAATGAAGAAACAAGTACTCAAAAAAATGAACCTCCAGGACACCTTTAAATGTACCAACATCTGAATTATAGGGATACCAGAAGGGGAAGAGGAACAGCAACAAGTGGAAAACTTATTTGAACAAATCATAAAGGAGAACTTTCCCAATCTGGCAAAGGAAATAGACTTCCAGGAAATCCAGGAAGCTCAGAGAGTCCCAAAAAAGTTGGACCCAAGGAGGAACACACCAAGGCACATCATAATTACATTAGCCAAGATTAAAATGAAGGAGAGAATCCTAGAAGCAGCAAGAGATAAGGAGACAGTCACCTACAAAGGAGTCCCCATCAGACTGTCAGCAGATTTCTCAAAAGAGACCTTACAGGCAAGAAGGGGCTGGAAAGAGGTATTCCGAGTCATGAAATCCAAAGACCTACATCCAAGATTGCTCTATCCAGCAAAGTTTTCATTTAGAATGGAAGGGCAGATAAAGTGCTTCTCAGATAAGGTCAAATTCAAGGAGTTCATCATCACCAAGCCCATATTATATGAGAAGTTAAAGGGACTTATCTAAGAAAAAGATAAAAAACATGAACAGTGAAAGGGACAGTCATTTTATTGTACATATTTTTATGTGGGGCAGAGGGGGAGGGCAAGGATAGTATGGGAAAGGTAGAAGCTAAAGAACTTATGAAACATGGACATGAACTAAAGGGGGGGAGTGTGGGTGGGAGGGGGTGTGCAGAGTGGAGGGGAGTGAAGGGATAACTGTAAAATGGAAAATGGGATAACTGTAATAGCATAATCAATAAAATATATATATATATTTAAAGTTAAAAAAATCTTTCCATGAGGATTTGCACCTGTGTGTGTAAACAATACCTACCTGCACACGGTGAAAGGTGAGGTGCGTATCCTCCCCTTGCCTCCACCAGTCTCTCTTCCCAGAAGAAACTACTTCTTACCATGTACCATGTTATATATTGAGAGTTTACATGTGATTACACTTTTTAAACTCATATTACTCAACAAACGGATTCATTCGACTGTGGTTATCATTCTCCTACACGTATTTTCAGACACTCTTGCTACTGTTTTTGTGGGACAGAGGACGTGAGAACGAGGGGTCATGTGGGATGTTCACGGAGACCTATGACTGGCCCACCTGGTCCCCAGAAGTCTCAGCAGCTTACACTCCAGCCAACAGTGCACACAACAGTTCCTTTCCACAGACCTTTCCCCAACAGTATTTTGTAACTAAAAACATCATCACCTAATAGGTGAACATAATTGGTCTTTGACGCACTGAATTACAGTATAAAGAGGGCTTTCCCCAAAGACTCACTCACGAGGCAACCACATCAGATTTATAAAAATTTTACCTTTTCTTAAAATAATGCTTCTGTGTGCCTTCGTTTTGAACCTAGCGTATATAAGAATAAATTTTACTTCTCCTGATCTCCTTTCTTTTCAATGAAGTGTTCAGGGGAAGTTATGTTATCACTGCTGCAAGCATGCAGAGCCCTATTGTTAGAATAGGAAGCACGTTGGTACTCTCTGCCTTCCTCAGTACATTTTCCCAGCGCCTGCCTTTCTAATACTGGTCTCTAGGGGGCTTGTGAGAAGAGTGGGTCCTGGATGCAAAAAAAAAAAAAAAAAAAACCCTCCATCACAAACTAAACTTTTGTAGAAATAGCTAGTGAATGTCCGGGTTAAATAAAACGAGTATTCAAGACCATGTTTGCTCCTTTAGAAATCCCTGAGTTCGGAATTATTGTTGCCAGCCAGGTTCTGTGTGAACTTGGACAATCTCAGATTCCAGTTATTTTATTTGCTTTCTTGTTCGCCCTCTGATGGTTGTTCAGAAGAAGAACATGAACAATACCACTAAAGTATGAATAACCACCTAGTTGTTTGGGTGTTGTTTAAATAGCTGGCATTTGGTAAGTTTGAGTATATAAAACTCAACAGTGCTGGCTCTTATTTACAAAATTTGTTTAAAACTTAGATGCCAAGAAACAGTTTAAAATACTTTAGAAATTTTCATCATACACATATGATCCAAAAATATTTTTCTTTAATAAAGATTTCACATATCAAGAGGTTTAGTGGAAAATAATTAAACTATTATGTAAACAGTCCAGTATATAAATTACTATTTACATTTCAGATCATATAATTTTTCCTCAAAATCTCTGCATATTCTCGTGATGTTTTCAAAATGAGATCCTGACATGAATTTGCCTGATCAGTTGATGCTACAGGACAAGCTTTATAGGCTTCAGCTTCAAATTCAGCAGCATCTGGAAAGAAAAAGGTAGAATTATATTCTTTATCTAAAATACAAATAGGTGTCAGTGTGAAGAATGAAAACGTCTATGCGTGACTACGACACACACACGTGAGATGACTATGGACCATAGCCTGCCCACGGCTGCACACTGAGTTAACTGCTGCTGCTGGTGCGTATCAGAGCTTCTGGTTTGGTCATTCGTCATTCATCTGTTCAACAGCCATGTGCTAAGGGAGCATGACAAGCACTGGAGCTACAGGGTGAATATGACACTGTCCACGCCTAGGCCATCACACACTGTAAAAGATGAGCAGGCAGTTTCCACTCAGAGTCATACATGCGAAGACAAATATTTACAGGGCACTACTGGGACACACAGAAGGGACGTCCCAGTTTTGTGTCAGTAATGTCAGCTCTTCGATGGGGGTGATACACGTGTAAGTTGGTACCTGAAGGGCAAGGAAGAACACTTGTGGAACTAGAAGTGGTCCAGTTTGGCTGGATGCTAGAGCAAAGGGGCAGAGTGCAGTGAGTGGCATCTAGAGATAAGGCTGAATTATTTGGCAAGAACTAAATGAATTTCATTGTCTTCACTCCAAGCAAAGGAATCTGGAGTTTTTTCCTGAGGGTGAAAGGTAAACCAATGACAAAGTCAACGACTGGAGAGTTAAATGTTGCCCCTCAGTGACTGCTGTCTGAACTGCAACTGCTCGACTGAATACTACTAGGTGAGCCAGGCTATTTGGCCTGACGTCAGTAGCAGAAACACGAGAAGTGGGTGGAGCCCAGTTTTCTGACTGGAGTTTCAGTGCAGGCTGACAGTGCCGCAGGCAGGGCGGAGGAAAGGGAGGGGAGAGCCGGAAATGAGAGAGATCCGTGGACACAGCGGACTGTTCAAAAGCTATGGAGCGTGAGGAACACATGCAAGGAAGTGTATTCTTCCTCATGAATGTTTATGTGTTCACATTTCTCGTTCCCTATGAATGAGAAAATATTTAATACAGTATCTGTTACTCAACATGGAAATGCATGCTGTTTACTATTCGGATTCTTTCAGAAATCAATGCTATCAAAATATAATTAATAAAATACAGCAACATACCTTCTCTTAGTTCTCTAGTTAGAGTTTTTTCAAACTCCTGCCGCATCTGAAATAAGTCAAATATTATGTATAGTATCAAAGTTAAACAAGAGACATTATCATAGAAATGAGATAAAGCTTATGAAATGTATCCTTTAAATAATTTTATTTCACTTTCATTCATGTTTAAAAGATTTCTTTTATTTATTTTTAGACATAGGAAAAAGGAGAGAGAAAGAGGAGAGAAAATGGGAGAGAGAAACATCACGCAGTTGCCTCTTGCACACGCCCTGACCAGGGATGGAACCCACAACCCAAACAGGTGCCGACCAGAAACTGGACTAGTGAACTTTTTCAGTTCGTTGGGTGATACCCAACCAACTGAGCCATACTGGTCGGGGCTATATAATAATTTTAAAGCATAGACCTAACTTGGGGATTGTGTAAACAAACAAACAAACAAAAATCACATAAAGAAAATAAATTCCCATTAACTTTTGGATAATACAGAACATAGATATGTAAATGCCACTTAGATTAATCTGACAAAAAGTACAATTGATATTGGTCTATCGAATAAACATGACTCCAGAAAAGTGATGTTTGATCTTATTGGTAGAAAGACGTTGAAACAAGTCAAGTCATATTTTACACAGAATGCATTACTTTGCAATTGCTAGAAAAACCACCCTTTATGAAAGTTTAATCAGGGACTTCTGGTCAAGATGGCAATGTAGGTAAATGCAGCGCTCACATCCTCCCACAACCACATCAAAGTTACCACTAAGTTACAGAACAACCATCACTCAGCACCACCTGAACGCTGACTGAATGGAAGCCCTGCAGCCAGGGATTTAAAGAAGCCACACTGAGACTGGAAGCAGGGGCAGGAATGCAGAATGGGCTGGTTCCACACCCATGCATTGTGGATAAATATCGGGAGGGGGATCTTGGCTGCAGGTATCCTGAGAAGTGAGGAGTCCCAGCCCCATAACAGGTCCCCCAGCCCAGGGTTCCAGTGCCAGGAAGAGAAGTTCCCATAACCCCTGACTGTGAAAAGCAGTGGAGATTGAGGCTGAGTGAGACAGAGGACTTCTGGAGTCCTGAGCATTCTTCTTACAGGGCCCACACACAGACTTTCTTGGACTCACTCCCTTTGAGCCCCAGTACTGGGGCAGCAGCTCAAAAAGCAAAAGAGATATCCAGGGAGGAACTGAATTGTCTGGCATCTGGGCAAGAGCTGGGGGCGGGGGCAGTTTCTCCCAGACACAAGTGCTAGCAGAGGCCATTGCTCCTTTTCCGAGACCCCGACCCACTACAGAGCAGGTAGGTGGGCACCATATCTGAGTCTCTACCAATCAGACAGACTCACAGTATTTGCCCTGCCCTGGTGATTCCCTGAGACCCCATCCCACCCAACCAGTGGGCCCACCTAAGTTGTTTCTAGTGGCTTTTTTATACAAATGGCCTGTCTTGCTCATGCTTTAGACTTTCCCAGAATTGCACAAACAAGTAGCACCCAGCCTTAGTGTGCCCCATACCACTCACTAGCAGCAGCTGGCCTTGGTTTGCATTTTGTCCTCACCTAAGCACCTCCAAGCCCAACATAAGTAGCAGCCATCTGCAAATCAATTTGTAGTTCATGTCAGTTGGGCCTGGGAAGAACACAGCAGGCAGCTGACCTTGGCCTGCACCTTCCAGGAGGCCCCAGAGCTAGTGCACCCATTGGAAAGCTCCAGCCCACACTGAAGCACCATGAACCATTCCACAAGTGACACATTCGAGGGGCAGACTCAGCTGGCACCAGACCCCAGTTAAGTAGGTCCTGCTCTGTGGGGTGGGCCCCTGCACAGCTGACCCTCCACAGTGGTCCATGGTCACAGCCAGTCCTTGTAGCCAAATGGCCCAGGGGTAAATCCCTCCCATTGATGGACCAACAACAATCAAGGCTCAACTGTAAATGGAGGGTGTACACAGCCCACACAGGGGGCACACCTGGAGTGCCTGCCAAGCTTGCGTGAGTGGGGAGGTTGTGCCACTGGACCCTACAGAACACCTACTGCACAAGGCCCCTCTACCAGGCCTGGGAGACACAGCAGCTCTGCTAATACACAGAAACATACACAGGGAGGCTGCCAAAATGAGGAGACAAAGAAACATGGCCCAAACAAAAGAACAGAGCAAAACTCCAGAAAAAGAACTAAACAAATGAGGCGAGCAACCTACTAGGTGCAGGGCTCAATCACTGGTTATAAGGATGCTCAGTGAACTGAGTGAGAACTACAACAGCATAAGAAAGCACATGGAGACCATAAAAAAGAACCAGACAGAGATGAAGGATACACCAACTGCAACGAAGAATAATTTGCAGAGATTCCACTGGACAGTAGCTTAAGCCAAGAATCAAATCAGCGATTTGGAATATAAGAAAGCAAAACAACACAATCAGAACAGTTCTCCAAGGACAAGGCTGACCCTGCAGCCCCAGCAACACAGCAGCAGTGGAGGAGTTAGAGTGTAGCCCCCAAACCACAGCCCAGCACCACTGCAGACCCCTCCCCAGGTGCAGCCGTGCTCCCACCACCACAGACCAGGAGCAGCAGCAGAGACAAGGCCCAGCCGCCAGGTCACAGCACAGTGCTGCAAGGGACCACAGGGAACGAGGTAGCACCTCAGTGGGCTCACAGACTGGCTCCCCTCAACTGGCCACATCCCTCTGCCATGGTGGTGGCGCCCCGAGACCCAGATGATGGGGTACAACGCCTCCGCCCACCACACTGGTCACCCAGGCCGCCACTCCCACGTGCAAAACAGCCAAGGCTAGGCCTCCCACACCTAGACTTCCCCCTGCTCTCAGGGTTAAGTAGCAGCTGTAGGAAATAACAAAAACTGCGCTATAGCACCATCTACTGGAAAACAAGAGAAAGAGCTCTAATTATCAACTTGCTCAATTGTGAAAAGCAAACTTTCTTGACAAGAAAAGTGTTCACTACTTCGAAGGCACCAGCAGAGGGACGACTTGTCAAGAGTAACACAGAAAGAAAAGGACAATTCTCCAGAAAGAAACTCAAACTAGCAAAAACTTGTGATGTAAATCATGGAGAAATGAAAATAGCAGTTGGGAAGAAATGCAACAGGATACAAGAAAACCCTAAAGGCAGGTCAGTGAGCTCGGAAATAAAATTAATGAACAGGAGTAATTTACCAAAGAGATGAAAATGATAAAAACAGACAAACAAATTCTGGGGAGAAGAACTGAATAAATAAGATAAAGAATGGCTATTTTAATAACAATGATACACAATGAAAGCTAGTTGCTATTTCAAGACTCCCTATCCCTGCCATCTTATTCATCAGTAATTCAAGTCCTGGCAAGATATACAGACATAAGTGAACCTCACTTAAAAAATCAAATAGGAAAAAAATACATTTAAAGTATGAAAAATTCAAATATTTGTCCAATTTAACAATTTAGAAAATGGACAATTCCTCAGCAAGACATTGTATAAAGATTGAAATTAAAATGCTGTTAGTAAAATAGCAATGAAGAATGTTCTCTCATGTAACAAGATGACAAAAATTTTCACTTAAAAACAGAAATTAATTTTTTTAGCATTAAAAGATTATTTAATTCATAAAAAGGATTTATCTCAGTTTCATTTAAATAACAAAAATCCACATATGGTTAAGTGCTTGGATGTCAATCACTCCCTTATGCTTAGGGGCGGGAAATCGGGGCGCAGCAGAACTTTAACATTGGTACGAACCATCACCCCACTAAAATCCATTAGAAAGGAAGCCAGAGTATCTCCAAGAACACCATTGGCTATCAGGCGATAATATTTAATTTCCAAAATTGAGATTACATGTAGCTTGTCAAAAAATTTAAAATGCATCTGTTTTGTTACATTTGTTGGGTAATGATAGGCATCTCTTTAAAATGAGAGATCTGGGCACTTAGAAAAGATTTTAAATTTTGTGTCTTCTTTCTATATTAGCACAAATATGAAGCTTTTACTTAGTGTGCATTAGCCAATGAAACAACTTGGAATTTCACCAAATTAAACACTAAAATTATATCAGAAATCTGAAGCCCATGAGAAAAAAGAGAATCTAACTCACCTCCATCAAGTAAGTCTCCATGCTCCTACTCGAAGTCTGTGGCCGTGAGGTAGGAACCACCAAGTTTTCTCTTGGACTGAAGCTTCCATAGAGCCCCGAAGGATTGTTAAGATTCCCAACACAAGGCATCTCCAGGCCCGGCTTCAGAGGAAGAGAGCTGAGTAAAGATCTGTTCTGCTGTTTCTGCAGGAGAAGTTCGGTGTTGAGCTCTGCTAGCCTCTCATTAGTCCTGTGAAGATTGGAAAAACAAATGCTTTACAGAGCATTTTTCCCTAAGTGACTTGCGTTTTTTAAAGCTGCCTCAATAGTAAGTGGAATTTCCCACTGAGCAGCATTGAAACACTGATAATGTGTCAGAGCAGGCCTCCAGATACAAGTAGAGGTTCTAAATTGTTCTAAGTAAGTCCATGTGCTTCTGGGGGTGGGGAGGTTCCTGAGGATGGAGTAATTCACAGCAGGGAGGGGAGAGGAATGGCTCTCAGTGATGCCCTCAGCTTATCAGGTAGCAATACTTGCTGCCTTCTGGAAGGGCGGTACTTACAAGATTCTTGAGGATGCCCTTGGACATATTTAGTAAACCAGTTCAGAGGTTAAAAAACATCCTTCATAAACACTGTCAAGCATTTGCTTTCACCACCCTTGTACAATACACTCATTACCTTGGAGAGCTTAACTACTTGGCACAAGGCTTAATTTAGAGCAACAACCTCTAAGGGAACAAGACAGCCCAGCTGGTGATCAAAATGAACTGAAACAGCACCAGAGGCAATTATAACCTTGTTACCAAGGCACTGGAGGTGGGATCTGCCCCTTCCGTCTTCCACACACCCCCTCCACAGACCACATGATTATTTTTAGCCATTCTGTCAGTTTTACTGCCCTTCACCCCTATGTTAACCTTTCCCTATGTAACTCAGCATGTCTTTATGCAGAGAAGATAGTTTGTCTCAAGGCGCCCTCTGGTGATGATAACGAAGATCACAATCAAGAAAGTAAATGGACCAAGTGCCAGAATGTGCCCAGTACTCAACCCTTTGGTTCTAAGTTGTTTCTTCCAAAAAATAATTAAACTTGTTAATATTTCTATTTTACGGAATTGCAACAAGTACTTTTATAATAAAACCACTGTCTAAATTATAAAGCTTGAAAAACACTTAGCTTCAAGACCAGTAGATCAGGTTAACTATATGAAAATGGGGAAAAAATAAAGTCATGTAAAACCAAAACCAGGGGAGAGATGCAAACTGCCCTGGATGAACACTTGAAAGACAAGTTCATTCGCTGCCATCACTTCCCAAATGACACTACTTAGTCAGCTTCCAGTTCCTACTCATTTCATGAACCGGGTTCCATAACAATTATTCTTTTGAAATGAATTAATGTGGTACATTGGTTTTCTCTGATTCTGTGTTTTGACTTACTTGTTTAGTATATTTGTTAATGACTTTCTACTTTCTACTTCTTCCAGGTAGAGTTGCTTATATTTTTCCAAATTTATTTCTTTAGAACTTCTGAGAAATTTTTATTTTGGAGAGTTCAGATTCTAGATCTTTAATTCTGAGTTCCAACTGACTTCTTATTGAAGCATTATGATTCTCTCTTAACTGCTCCAGATTTTCTTGAGATGCTGCTTGTGTCTAAAGCAAATAAACAAGGATTTTAAAAATAAGTGTAATCCGAACAATTTCTTTCCTTAGTTATGAGTCAATGATTCATAGCAACTTTAATGATTTAGAAAGCAACTTTTAACACAAAAAAGTTTAAAATATTTATTAGCAATGTCAACTGAATTTTAAATTATAAAAATAAACTTATGTCTTTTATTAGTGCTCATGCATTCTGATAGTTCAAAAAATAACAGAATCAAATTAAAAAAATTGAATAATGTAAATTAATAATGCTATAATTTAAAATTTTCAATTTATTTATTTTTATTACTAATAGTCTTGTTTTATACCAACTGGTCTTTAAAGTAGAATGATCCTCTAGTAAGAATATTCTGAAAGATCAATTCAGTGATAATAGTGATAGAAAATGGAAATACTAAAACATTCTACTTTCCTTCCTTAAACTTACAAAATAAACTGCTAGTAAGCAGGGGAAAGATATATAATGTATATTTCCAAAATGTAACCTGCAGGGAAATGAATCAAAGACCAATACATTAACCTGTAAAAATAGATTGACTTCTTCTAATTTTTCTTCTATATCCTGTCTTGCTCTTTCCTCAATCTTCCGTTTATACTGTTCTAATTCACTGAATTCTACCATATTCATTTCCATATGTGTTTTGAGGTTTATTCCTTCTTGTTTCCACTTCTTTTTTTCATTCTTTAGTTTTTCACATTTTTTTTGTAATGCTTTCATTGATAGTAAGTCCTGTTGAAGACATTTATTTTTTTCATCCAGATGCCGACATTTTGAAGACGCAGCTTCCAGTTTTGCTGTAAGATCATCATTCTGCATGAATAAAATAATACAGTTTGGTTATGAAGGTGCTGGCTGAGGACAGTCTAACTCAACACAAGTATCCGATTTTGAAATAAATTCAGTTGCAGTTATCGGTACCATAGCAGAGACTTATAATGTGAAAATTTTAATTACTCGGAATCAAGAACAAACTTTAAAAGATCAGGAGTCACAAAAAAATGCATTTAATGTCATAGTCTTTGCCACATAATGTCTGTACTTCATTTGTACTTCTTCCTATGACTGTTTTCATGTCTTCTGCCACAAAATGACTACAAGTCCCCTCTAAGCAGAAAGTTTCTTACCTCTTTTCCAATATTAACTTTCCATAACTTTTAAAGGAGTTTTAGGGATATCATATTGAGTTATTTAGGACTAAGTCAATAAATGCCTCCCAAGATAAGACTTTAAAAATAATAGTCTAATTAATGCATCTTTTAAAAAATATTTTTTTAATTTACCTTTAGAGGGGAAGAGAAGGGAAGGAGAGAGGGAAAGAAATATCAATGTATGGTGGCCTCTTGTGTGTCCCATGCTGGGAACTGGCCTGTAACCCAGGCATGTGCCCTGACTGGGAATCAAACTGTGATCCTCTGGTTCCCAGGCCCAAGTTCAATCCACTGAGCTATACCAGCCAGGACCCTAATTAATGCATCTTATATAGATTCGAATGCCATACACCTTTAATGAACTACAGATGTTTAATGCTAATGTGAATTGCATTCCAAGAAGAAGTGACTTCCAGGGTTAAGGAGAAATGATATCTTCCACTGTAAAAGTTTAGTAAGATGAGCTATATATTTTTAAAACAACAACAACAAAAGGCTTAATTCAGTAGTGCTCGCTCGTAATGCTTTGTTACTTCCCACAAAATAAGAGAACATACTAAACAAAAACTTGCTGGAAATTCCATCATATTGACTTGAGAAATACTGGGTTGGTCGGAAAGTCCATTTATTTTTTCACATAAAATGAAAGACGTATGAGTAGTTTTCACTTTCACCAGTAACTTCATTGATTTGGAATACTGAGCATGTTGGAATGTCCCACATCGTATACAACACTGACTGTGGAGCATCGCCCAGAGAGAAACCTTCAGCATGAACATTCGCAAACCACTTTTGATGTTTGATCAGACAGAGCTCCTTCTCCATACACTGCACAAATCTTTTATTTTGCATTTGTTGTGTTTTCACCCTTCTTGAAATAAGAGCATAATATTCTGAAAATGTTGTTTTCTTCCATCTTCAATATTAAAATGGCTACACAACAATTCACCGATTTTGATCAGTTTTTTAAAACATGCAGCTGTCACAATACAATCTAACAAAATTGATTCAAATGAAGTTCAAGACAACTAAGCTCTACTAGAGCCATCTTATGGAAAAAACAAACAAACTTTTTGGGTAACCCTATACTACTTTCTTTTATTTGGTAAGACCAGGTGAGTGATGTGGAGTTTTTAAAACATGTCTACAAATTCTTGGCGCACGTCCCATGAAACAGGAGCTGGCCTTAGTGAGTAACCGGTCCCTGGTGAATGGAATATGGTGGAACCGCTGGTGACGTCCATGTCTGGGCGATACAGCCTCCGTCTGACTCACTCTCGGGGAAGGCTCACCCTGAGAACCCAGCCGTGCTGTCAGGAATGCAGCAGCCGGGCCACACACAGTCAGTCCTCGTGCAGGTGTTCCAGCTGGGACTGCCCCAGCTGCCGTCCCAGCCAAAAGCCTGCTGCAACCGATGAAACGTGTGAATGAACAAGGTGATTCTAGTTCCCGGTTCAAGTCATCCCAGGTGATGGCAGGTGGTAACGAAATGTGCTGGCCTCACTGAGCCTGCCCTACCTGCAAATTTGTGAACAAGATAAATGCTGTTTTGAGCCAGTAGGTTTGGAGGTGGTTCATTAAGCAGCAATAAGTAACTGCACAGACGCTGGTATTAAAAGAGTGCTGCCACTAAAAAACAAGACAAAACAAAATCCCCTGCACATGTAGGAGTGCCTTGAAGCAGGAGGCAGGTGGAACCTGAAACAATGTGGAGCAGCATGAAAATGGAAACCAGAAGGGTCTCCTAGAGATGGTTAGTGGAGGCTTGGTGGCCCCTGAAGAGGCTGACAGCAAGGGCTGCCGGGCCAGTGAACGAAAGTCCCCTGAAACCTGGGTGGAAGGGGACTCTTGCTATGAAGCAGCTGAAAGTAAAATTGATGTGGAAGATACGATAAAAAAGACACTTAAATTTAAAGGAACCAAGATTTATGGGTTTCCAATATTTGTTTCTTGTTTGATAGCTTCTCCCACATGTCTGACTGTCAAGTAATGCTAAAATAAAGAAAACGCTCCTGGGCTAAGATCAAATACAGGTGCTTCCAGGAAAACATGGTCTAAGGATGAAGGCAGGACTGGAAAACCCTTAACACCTCAGAAAGATTTCAGGTGATTCTCAAATTCCTTTAAGGATCATGGGATCCTTAACACTGTCTTACAATAGGTCCAGGAAGCCCGAGATGCAGATCTTATCCCAAAACAACTTGTAAGAGTGGTTTTCTAATGGCATGAATCCCGATGAAATTCATAGGAAACTCAAAGCTTCTAAGGGAGCTGTAGAAGCGGAACCCCTGCCGGCTGGCTTGTTCTAAAGGAGGGCCAGACAGGACACAATAAAAAGAGGCCTGTGGATTGCAGGCGGAGAACGGAGCTGCAAGCACAGCCATTTCCGATGAAAAGGACGGAACAGCGAGCTCAGAGGGAGCAGCCAAGGGCCGTGGAGAAGCCGTCCATGGTTGGGGCTCAGTTTTCCTTCCCTCCCCAGTGAGGGGACAGAGAACATTATGACATCATTTTAAATCTCACTGGTAAAACAAATACAGCGTCCTTTGGCAGTATTAGATACAATTTCTCATCTACCTTACTTCAAGCTTGCTTGTACAAAAGGTAAAACCGTCTCATCTTTAGGTTACACCACAATGTTTCTCCATAGCACAGAAATTGACTTTAAAACTGAAATTTCAAGAGGAGACAGTCCAGATTTATTTTTTTTTGCAGGCAAGGGTGGGGGCTGGTGACTAACTTATTATCCTTGAGAGCAGCACCACTGAGCAGAGCAAAACCTGCAAAAAAACCCCACGATGGTGATGCTTTCACCTGTTTTCAAGCTTTTCTAAAAACTGAATATTGGGATGACATCGGTTCATAAGCCATACAGGTTTCAAGTGTACGATTCAATAAAACGTCATCTGCACACACACTGTGTGCCCATCGCCCCAAAGTCTCTCTTCAGCCCCATTTCCCTTCCTTCACCCACCTGCACCTCCCTGCCATCCCCTCTCCCGCTGCCTGTCACCACAGTTAGCAGTGTCCTTGTGTTTACACACGTTTATAATTTTTTCTTAACCCCTTCACCTTTCACCCAGCCCCCCAACCCCACTCCCTCTGACACCTGTCTGTCCTCTGTATCTGTGCCTCTGTTTCCATTTTGTCACTTTGTTTTGTTCATTAGATTACACAGGGAAGTGAGGTCACATGGCATTTGTCTTTCACCAACTGGCTCATTTCACTTAGCATAAAGATCTCCAGGTCTATCCATGCTGTTGCAAAAGGTAAGATTTCCTTCCTTTTAATGGTCAAGTACTATTCCATCATGTACACGTACTACAGGTTTTTTATCCACTCATCTACTGATGGACACTTGGACTGTTTCTAGCTCTTGGCTATTGTAAATATTGCTGCTAAAAATGTAAGAGTGTATACATTCTTTCACATTAGTGTTTTGAGTTTCTTCAGATATATTCCCAGGAATAGGATTGCTGGGTCAAAGGCGGTTCCATTTTTAATTTTTGAGATATCTCCATACTGCTTTCCACAGTGGCTGCACCAGTCTGCATTCCCACCAACCGTGCACTAGGGTTCTCTTTTCTCCACATCCTCAACAGCACTTGTTGTTTGTTGATCCATTGATGGTAGGCATTCTGACTGGTGTGAGGGGGTATCTCATTGCGGTTTAATTTGCATCGTTCTGATGATTAGTGATGTTGAGCACTTTTTCATATGTCTGTTAGCCATCTGATGTCCTTGTTGGAAAAGTGTCTATTCAGGTCCTCTGCCCACTTTTTAATTGAATTACTTGCCTCTTTTGTGTTGAGTTGTATTAGTTCTTTGAATGTTTTGGATATTAACCCTGTATCAGATGAATCACTGGTAAATATGTTCTTCCATTCAGTGGGTTTTCTTTTCATGTTGTTGACTTCTTTTGCTGTGCAAAAGCTTTTTATTTTGATGTAATCCCATTTGTTAATTTTTTCCTTTGTTTTCCTTGCCCAGGAGATATGTCAGCAAAAATACTGCTAAGAGAAATGTCTGAAATATTACTGCCTATGTTTTTTCTAGGATTTTTATGGTTTCATGGCTTACATTTAATCTTTAATCCATTTTGAGTTTATTCTTATCTATGGTGTATTTGGTGGTCTAGTTTTATTTTGATTTTTTGCATGTATCTGTCCGATTTTTCCAACACCATTTATTGAAGAGGGTCAGTGAAACCTGTCAGTGAGTCTACGAACTATGAGTTAAACACAATGAAGGAAATGGCTAAGTCAGCAGACCCTGTTACCAGGATTTAATGGATGGGAGCGAATTAGAGGCACTGGGTTAGAGACTGAAGGTTTAAATGGAGAAAAAGAGAAATAAATGTTGTCTCTGTAAGCTTACTTTCCCATCACATCAGAACTAGCATCAAGAGGCAAAAGATCTCCACAAAAGTAGAGTTAAGGACATTCCACTACACTGACTTTTTAATATTACATAAAACTGGTAATATGCAAGATGACCAGGAAAGAGTTCTCATAAAATTTGGTTCAGTACGGGATTAAGGACAGACATACAGATCAATGAATTAGATGGGAGAATACAAAAAGTAACCCTCACATTTCTGGCTAAGTGCTTTTCAGGAAGGGTGTCAAACAACTAAATCAGACATGAACGGTCTTTTTAACATACGGTAGTGGGACAACAGGATATTCGTGTGCAAAAGAATAAAATTAGACTGCCACTTTATTCCATACATAAAAATTTCCTAAAATGTAAAACCTGAAACTATAAAACTCTTAGAAGAAAATACAAGTGTATATCTTCATGACTGGATTTGGATATTTTTCTTAGATGTGAAACCAAAAGACAAAAATATTGTAGATTAACTGCACTTTATCATAATCAAAAACTTCTATGCTTTAAAGGATACTATTGAGAAAGTGATAAGGTAATCTACTGAGTGGAAGATATATTTAAAAATCTTGTATCTAATAAGGGATTTGTATCTAGGATATATAAAAACTCTTACAATTCAATAATAAAATACCATCCAAATGGGTAAAATAATTGAATGGACGCATCTTCAAATAAGATATACAAATGGATAATAAGCATGTGAAAAGATGGCCAACACCATTAGTCACTAGAAAATTGCAAATCAAAACCACACTAAGATGCCATTTCCCACTCTCTAGGACGGCTGTCATCAAAAGGCAGGTAATGACAAGTGTTGGCAAGAATGTGGACAAATGGGAAACCTTACTCTGCAAATAAAAATGAAAATGGTGCAGCCACTTTGGCCAACAGTCTGGCTGTACCTCAACAGGTTAAAGATACGATCCAGCTATTCTATTTATAAGTATATTCCCAAGAGAATGGAAACATCGGTTCACATAAGAACTTGGACATGAGTGTTCACAGCAGCATTATTAACAATGTCAAGGAGTGAAAACAATCCAAAGGTCCACCAAACGATGAATAGATAAAACAATGTGGTTACTCCGTACAATGAAATGTTATTCAGCAGTAAACAGAAATGAAATACTGATGATACCTTAAAAACATTATGCTAAATTAAAAAAGGAGTCATGAAGGACTGCATATTGTGTGATTCTGCTGACGTGAAAGGTCCAGAAGAGACAAACCCGTGGAGACAGAGAGCACAGCAGTGGCTCCCGAAGGCTAGAAAGAGTGGGGACGTGGAGACTGGCACAGGGGGTTTGCTGAAGGGCACGGGGTTAACTCTTTTGGGGGATGAAGATGTTCTCAAATTGATTATGATGATGACTGTGTAACTCTGAATATACAAAAAGCTGCTAAATTCCACCCTGTCAGTGAGTGAACGGTGGAGTATATTCATTATATTTCAATAAAGCTGTTAACCAAAACAGTTTTTGGATTTCATACTGGTGCTTGGGCTCCTGTCATGGTAAGGTTCTTGCTGGGGCTCCAGACGCAGGAGAGTTAGCAGTGATCCCTTCTTATAGGAAAACGACAAAGAAGCTCTTTCACTGACATCAAGTCTGTAACACTAGTGGAAAAACATGTATTTCACTCTTCAAAGCATTGAATGATATATAATTCCTCAAATTAGGTGATTTTGGGGTCCCCAAACTGATTAAAAGTTACCTTATGTTTTAACATATTAATCTGAATATCCACTTCAATTTGATTTGCTTTTAAATCTCCAGGGAAACTAAGCTCTCCATTTTCATATTCATTGAGCTTCCTTTTTGTACTTTTTAAGAGTTTCTTAAATCTGCAGAAATGTACAAAATAAGTCAAATTCTTTAAGAGTAAATACTTAATAATTACTTTAGCAGATATTATGTCCTATCTTATAAGATAAACAAATCTATAAATTAGTCTTTTCATTTGTTCCAATTTAATATTTTGAAAGCATATTGTCTAAATTGTTATCTTATGTAAATAAAATGAAAAAATTCATTACATATGATATAGTGTTCATATTGTAACCACATAGAGTTCTTATGTTATTAATATTCATTTTAATATGTTAATATAAAACATTAACCTATTATTAAATATCAACTAGAAACCAGAGATCAGAATCCAAAGTGGGGAAGAAAAGCATAATTATATGCCAGTGTTTTGACAGACACAAAAATATCTTCTGTTACCTACTGATGACAGTCTGTAAGAAGAAAAGTACCAGCAGAAAACATGAAGGCGATCATTCTAAACAGAAAGAGAAGCAGGAAAGGAAAATCTTTGAAGCTTTAGCTGAAGGGAAATTCGGAAAGGGGCAGGGTTGCAGAAGAAAGGAATCAGAGATAGTGTGTAACAGTCTCCTCGAGACTGTTTCAAGAGGAGACATTTGCTAGCACAATGTTAACAGAGTGAAAGGGATACAAAATAATGCAGAGAAAGGCACTTAAAGGAGAGGAAAAACACTGAGATGAGAAACAGAGAACAAACGGGAACACCCAGTGAACGAACAGAGAGGGGGCCTGTGGGGGCTTCCCAGACACTGAAACGGACGCCATTATTTTTTTATGAGTGGTAAAAACAGGATTACTCTGCTTCTTTAAGTCATACGTACATTTTTGTATGTGTGATATATTTTATAAGTAAAAAGAAAACAAGCCAAATCGAGATCACTTTTGAGGCTGTTAAACAATGGCACAGGTGGGTTTCCAGGCATTACACTACTTGAATGCTGAAGGAAAGCATACCTCTACAAGAGGAAAGATGACCTAAGACAGCAAAGATATCTTACAGAGATAAAAATTCAAGGCAGACGTGAAAAGCGCAGCTGCCAGGATGTGCCAAAAGGGTTCTCGTTACTGTTTCAGGAATCATTGAAGAGTAAGCAGAACCTTTTGGCATTCAAAAAAATTTCAGATTGTGCTGTGAGACTGTGAAGTAAATTTTTAAATAGGAACGTTTAATTATGAAAATTACAGATAGAGAATAGATTTGTACTTCGGTTTATTAGGGTAAAATGACGGTTAAATCTTAATTAATATAGAAATGATCTGAAGTATTAAAGTCTTACCCGGTTATCTCTTTTTCTAATTCACGATTTTTCTTCATTTCTTGATCCAAGTTATATTCCAGAGACTGTTTTAACTTAATATATTCCTTTAATTGTTCCCTTTCATCCTGAGACTTCAAAAAACATTTTAAAGAAAATTATTTTAAAAAATCTAGAGACTAATTCATCTTTCTTAAAAATATTATTTATCATGAGTTCATGAATAATACATATAGACAGGTTTATAAAATATACTTTTTCAACATGATGCCAGTATGAACAGATTTCAAAACTAACGACTCCTTTCTGCAGCTTAAACTGACTTAACATTTTCATCATTTTCTCTCTGGAACTCAAATTGCCAGAATTTGTTAAATGGAGGTTTTTACATGTGAAATACAAAGTGTTAAGCATTTTTAAAGAGAGCGGCTCCGCCGACTATTTAATTTCTAAAGATGCCCAAGAAATATTTCCATCAATATTTTGAGATATGCCAGATGCTGTTAAAGCACATCCGACTGACACAATCTCCGGAAATCCCCACGCTGGCCGCATCACCTTGGGAGGCAGCCTGGTGTCAGGGTGGGAGGAGACTCCCGCTCTCTGCTTCTCTTTATTTGAAGAACAAAGTGTTTCCTTTTCTCCTTAAGTCAAGTTTGTCTCTCCACATTTTATAAAAACATCACTTTTACTTGATTCTTGCAGTTTTTTCCATCTCTTCCACTCAACTTTAACGTCCTTTAATGCAAGGTCTCAGCCACACTGGTATTCCCACCCTTCCTCTCTTCTTTTACACAAGAATCTGACTTCCCATCCTATAACCACACTTCACACGTTTCTGAGGGTCATTTTCTTCTTCAGTCCTTCTCCTGCTCTACTTCTCAATGGCAGCTGATAATGGTGACCCTCCCTCTGCTCCTCTAACCCCAATTCATTTCTAGACAGTGACCCTCATGGTCCAGTCCTGGACTCTTTCTGTTCTTCTTCTTTTTTTTAAACTCAGAGCATCTTAAATCTCAACACTTCCAACCAGACTCCCTTACCAACATTTCCAGCCTTGACCCCTTTCCTGAGGTCATCTGTCCCGTCCTTTCTCCCTTCTAGTTCCTCGTAAACAATAGCCTCAACCACACACTCAGAAACCAGGACTTGGTAGGGATTACCTTTGTGGATAGCTAATCCTGTACATTTTATGTTGATTCTCATTGGTGTTACGTTGAGTGTGCTGGTGCTTTCTGATCTTAGAAGCACCTTCCCCCTCAGGATGTTGACTAGAATACTCTGTGTTGTTTTTCTCTTATAATGCAAAACATTTCACAAGCACCAGATTATTAATTATTTGCCTTTATTAAAAAATCATTTCCTATTCCATAGAGACTGACCTATGGAACCCTTCTGAAGTTGTTTTCACATGCACACTCAACTACATCGTTTGAAAGCTTGACAAAGCCACAGCTATCTTCTTCTTGCCAATTCAGATTCTTCACCTCAGCATTGCGTTGATCAAGTATCTCAGCCCAGGGAGTCTTGGCCTGGGGAGTCATGACGTGAGAACCTTCTAGAGAAGTCAGGGCTATTGATTAAATTGGTGAAAAGCTGTCTCATTACATTTTTGATTCCCCGAGTAGATCTTATTGTAGCTAATGATTCTGTGTCATAAATCTAATTCATTTCTACAGACATCTACAAAAAAATCCCCCATTATTTTTGCATAAGCTCATCAACTTTGGGAATTCCTATCCAGTTTTCAGTTTTTGAGACCTTATAGATTTCTGTATGAAACTGAAGGTGACACTTCCTGGACTCTCAGTCACAGAAGACTCACTGTCAACATACTATCATTTCACTTGTATGAAAAGTATATGCCCATACAATATGATTTATTCATATAAAGTCTAGAAAATAATTTTCAATGGCTCTTCACCCACAAGAAGAACCAGTCAACACAATGTTCTAGTTCCCCTGACAGGTACGTCTGTTTACTGAAACTGCGTGGATTGAGCTACTGTGATGGAAAGAAACTAGCTGGTAGGTGAATCAACTTCACTGCTCCAACTTCGGGTTCACAAAGCAGTCTTCTGATCTTAAATTATAGGTAGCCTCTCCTACAGAGGAGAGTATGAATGGCAGAAGAATCCTCTTCTACTAAGTAAATAGCTGTGTAGTTTTCACCATTCATCAGTTAACTGGAGTCCTGGGTTACACAGCCATCTTTTCTGAGATGGTATTGTCAGTCTTTGAAAGGCTGAATAACACAAGTGAAGAGTCTTTAAGCTTGCGATGCTAGGAGCACTATGTTGCTGTGTGAGGCCCTGATTGAGCAGCCATTTCAACTTTTTCACTGGCATCTCTTTTCTTTTTTAAATCCAGCAAAGGGAAAAAAATGCACTCCTTTGCAAAAACACTTACATGAGGACTTAGTACTCATTCTTGATGAAGAGAACATATTACAACATTAAAAGTAATTCATTCTCAAAATCTCACTGAAGGATTTAGATTACAAAAGAAATTCAGAATTCTACATTAAATCATTACTCAAATTTCTGGAATCCAACAAATATTTGTATTCCAATGTCTGAAGTAGCATTATCAACAGTAGCCAAAAGGTGGAAAATCCTAAATGTTAAACAAATGAATGCATAAACAAAATGTGGCGTAAGTCAAATATTGCCTCTAGACTACCACAATCTTTTCAATTAAAATCCTACTACAATAATAATTAATTTTATGAATTCGACTTCCTTTACCAGGAATTATATTGCTACTAACAAGTATCATATGAATACAATAAATACTTTTCATTATAACTTTTCATATTGCCCAAAATATCTTATACACTAGTACTAGAGAAATAAAAGTTCCTTTTCGGTACGATGGAAATTAAGAGATTGACTTACCAAATTTGTACCTACCAGGACTGTCTGAAGGTGTTCAATTTTCAGTGATTGCTCTTTGATTGTAACTTTTAAGTTGGCGTTTTCCATTTCATGCCTAAAATGTACATTTTAAAATGATTATTTTTACACATCAACTTAAAAGGTATCAGATAATTTCTGAATATCTGAAGGTACAATTACGTGAAATCTTAAAATTTGAAAAATAGATGAATTGGAAATTGTGCTATTTTTCTAGTTGTGTTTTGTGGATAATCCGCGAAATTTAGAGGTAATGTATACAAATTATGCATTTAAAAATATTTCAAAGCTGAAATGTTTATTCAGCTTGGCACTGATGTATTTCTCATCATAACTGATCTAATTCTCACACTACACTCCTCATGTGCTTTGTAAACACTCATGTGACTTTCTGAGCTGCTTTATACTTTTGCATGTGATCTTGTGTCTCCTCGGCACATCTTTCAGCCGCTGCGCATCGATCCTGTGCTTCTTGTAACTAAAATAAAGAAAAAAAATACTTGTAAGTATTGATAATCTACCACAAATCTAACTGCTTCTGTACCTTAAATTTTACTGGACAACAAGCACACTCTTTCATCTGCGTTTTGTTTATGGAGACCTGGCACTGAAACAGCAGAGCTGAGCTGTGACGACAGGAACCTCCTGGCCTCAGGAGCCTGAAATAGTTATGACCTGGTCCTTCACAGAGAAGATCACGGACCACTTCTCTAGTACTCACACTAAAACATTACTCATGTTCTCAACTTATGTTTTATCAGATAAATATACACATTTATAATCTGGTCAAACGGGAATAATAGAAAATTAAGATAAACCTTCATTTTTTGTATTCCAAGCACCACATCAAGTTTAACATTCACAAATGTGAATGAGCATGGCTACTCCAGTGATTATCAAAGTTAACAACATGCTGCTTTTGGTGACAGCGAGATGCTTCACTGAATAGCCTGAGAGGCAGTATCTACATGGGAGCCAGAACGCCTGGGTTTGATTCCCACAGCCTCCAGTTATTAGCTCTGTCACCTTGAGCAAATCACTTAAACTTTCGGTGTCTCAGTTTCTTCATCTGTATAATGGAGATAGTAATGCTACCTACCTCACTGGGATGTCGGGAAGATTAAATTAGGGAATACATGTAAAGTAGTTAGAAGAGTACATGGCCCATAATAAGCTCTAAGGGTCTACACTATTATTGTCGCTGTATTTGAAGTTCTAATAAAATTTTATACTTCAGGCAGATGGCAATGCAACTGGTCTCTTGTACAAGTTACATTGAAATCATTCTTTATACCACTGACAATGGCAGCTAATGAGGAACGTGAGGCTCAGGCTGTCCCCCCAGCGCTTCAGAAAGCTTTCACCAAGGCCACTCATCAATAATACCTTTCTGTTCATAACAATTTATAACTTACTTCCTCTCTGTACTACTCAGCAGGCCATAATCAGGAGCAATGCAAGTAGCACCTCTGGGATTCAGTGCATCAAGCACAGGACCTGACAGGCAGGGTAAAGCCCCTGACACGGAGATAACGGGCTCTGTGCTACATCACAGTTCCCAGACCCACTCACCCCCAGCCACTGTTTATGTCCGGCTGCGTTAGCAAGTACTCTGCTGAGCAGATTAAAGTGGTGTGCAATGGCGTATCAGAAAAGCCCTTCCCAGAGATTTACAGTTGGTAAAGTGCTATAAATCTCTAAATCCTAGGTCTGGCTGCACAGTGAAGGAAGGCTGATTTCTACTTTTTCCCCTTACATGAGGGTAAAAATAATGAGCTTCTGATTAAATAATTCTCTATTATATTTATATTTAATTGCTTAAAATACATCAAGAAAAAGGTTTAATTATATCAATGTCTCTAAGAATACAGTATTGGTGTAGTATAAAGTAATTTTATGCTAACAATAGTTAAGCTCAAATAGTTTCAATTTACTCATATACAAAGATAAGGCCATCATATCCAATAATATATCCCATAGACAAATTTATACTTAGAAACACAAGACTATGTCTCATGAAAAAAATTAAAGCAATGTAAAATTCAGGGCTACACTCTTCTGCACAGACAAGATGACAAGTGCTGGAAAGAGTGAGGTCAGCGAGAGTTAGAACAGTCAGAGAACACTTCATGGAGGTGGGAGGTAGGAACCAGGTCCAAAGAGATGTCGGATTAGGCAAGAGGAATAGAAACTGAAAAGATGGAATGGACAGCGTGAGTAAAGGCTGAGAGATGCTGAAATCAGCCCGATTAAATCCAATGGCAGGGAGATAAAAACAGGTTCACACAGTCACCTGTGCACTCATGTTCACAGTAGAGTTACCAACAGCCAGGAAGTGAAAACAGCACAAAGTTCCATTGTCTGATGAATGGATAATGGTCTTAGCCACACAATGAAGTATTGTTCCACAACACAAAGAAATAAAACATCGATGTGCTATAACATGGCTGAACCTTGAAAATGGGACAGTAAGCGGAAGAAGCCAGTCAGAAACACGGCTCCTCGTGTGATTCTATGTATGTGAACCATCCAGACCAGGCAAATCTACAGAGGCAGAAAGTACACTGGCTGTGCCTGGTGGCAGGGGAGATGTGAAGCCGGGAGTGACAGCTAGGACACGTGGAGTTTGTTTCTGGAGGGAGGAAAATGTTCTATCGTTGAGTGAGGTGACAGTTAGATGCATAACTAAGTATGTCAAAATGTATTGAATGACCAATTAAAATGGACAAGTGATATGATATGTGAATTATAACAATGCAATTAAAAAAAGCCAATGGTGCCAAGATGGAGGCGTAGGTGGATACACTGTCCCTCCTCGCACAATCAAGTTTAAAGACAACAAAGTTTTAGCAACCAAAACACAGCAAAACACTGAAAATTGAACTATACAGAAGTCTGACAACGAACCGTTCAGCCAGACTGATAAACCAGGCGAAGGCATGAGCAGTGAGACAGACTTCGCAGTGCTCATCAGCGGGAAGCAGCAGAGGGGGCCGCTACTGTCCCTCTCTGACCCTGCCCCCACATACAGCGTCACAAACCAGCGAATTGGTTGACCCACCCTGGTGAACACCTAAGACTCTGCCCCTCATAAGTAACAGGTGTGAACAGACCGAAACATTGTGGCTCATAAAGAACTCAGAGCCCCAGAGCCCATAACTCTAAGAGACGAAGAAATAGCCAAACTTTCAGATACGCACTTCAAAACACTGGTGATGAGGATGCTCACAGAACTGGTTGATTATAGTCACAAATTAGAGGTACAAATGAAGGCTAAACTAAGTGAAATGAAGAGAAATGCACAGGAAACCAATAGTGATGGAAAGGAAACTGGAACTCAAATCAAGAGAGTGGACCAGAAGGAAGAAAAAAATGACCAAACAGAAAAGGATGAAGAAACAAAAATTCAAAAAAGTGAGGAGAGGCTTAGGAACCTTCAGGATATCTTTAAACGTTCCAACATTCGAATTATAGGGGTACCAGAAGGGGAAGAGTCACGAGTGGAAACCTTATTTGAACAAATAATAAAAGAGAACTTCCCCATTCTGGCAGAGAAAATAGACTTCCAGGAAATCCAGGAAGCTCAGAGAATCCCAAAGAAGTTGGACCCAAGAAGGAACACGCCAAGGCACATCATCATTACATTAGCCAAGATTCAAATGAAGGAGAGAAGCCTAGAAGCAGCAAGAGATAAGGGGACAGTCACCTACAAAGGACTTCCTATCAGATTGTCAGCTGACTTCTCAAAAGAGACCTTACAGGCAAGGAGGGGCTGGCAAGAAGTATTCCAAGTCATGAAAGGCAAAGACCTACATCCAAGATTGATCTATCCAGCAAAGCTTTCATTTAGAATAGAAGGACAGATAAAGTGCTTATATGAAATGTTAAAGGGACTTACCTAAGAAAAAGAAGATAAAAAAGATAAACAGTGAAAGGATAGCAAAATCACAGTTATTAACAGCCACACCTGAAACAAAAGCAAACTAAGAGGACAGCTAGATCAGGAGCAGAACCACAGAAATGAAGATCACATGCAGGGTTAGCAACAGGGGAGTGGGAGAAGGAGAAGGGGGGAGAAGGTACAGAGAATAAGTAGCAGAGACGGTAAGTAGAAAATAGATAGGGGGGAGGGCAAGAATAGTAGGGGAGATATAGAATCTAAAGAACTTGAGACACGTGGACATAAACTAAAGGGGGGAATGGTAGGGGAGGGGATGTGCAGGGTGGAGGAGAATGAAGGGGGGAATAGGACAACTGTAGTGGCATAATCAATAAAATATATTTTTAAAAAGCCAATGGTGGATCTAAATTTCATTTTCTTAATTTTCTGTTGTACATGTGCATACCACAATGATCTGAATTATTTCCATGCTTTTATAATGTCTCTACATGAGAGAAAATGAAGGAAATGCCTACTTCAACTGTTTTGTATAATGGTGCCTCCATACAAGTCATTATGAAATCTATGAAATAAATCCAGATTCTGTAACCATTCACAAAAGTGAAGATAGAAATAAAACAACTTTCTGGAACGTTCCATTAAACATTATTCTCAGATTTTATCTGCCTCATGATAATGGAGACATCACTAAAAACATTGTTTAATAGAAAAAAAGTCTCTTGATGTCTATGAAGAATAATGCATAATTCTTAACTTTCCTAAGGGTAAATATCATAAGAAAAAACATAAATGTAAATGGCAGAATAAAAGCCAAGGTTTTAGAAATAAGTGCAGACTCCCAGTCAAGATGGAGGCATAGGTAGACATCCTTTGCCTCCTTGCACATCCATAAGAAGGATCATAACAAACTGCAAAACTATAAACACCCAGAACTGCCAGAAAATTGAACTACATAGAAGTCTGACAACCAAGAATTTAAAGAAGCCACATTCATCCAGATGGGTAGGAAGAGCAGAGACAGAAAGCTGAGCCAGAGAGGATGCGGTATGGTGGTGGCGAGGCAGTAGCGGTGGCAGCTGGCAGAATGGGCAGTCCCACGTTCACAGGTGGTGGATAAAAATCAGGAGGGATACCTTGGGAATGAGTGATCCCAGTCCCAGGCCAGACAGTGCAGCCCAGGGTTCCAGTGCTGAAAAAATAAAGCCTTATAACTTCCATTTGTAAAAATCGGTGGGGGTTGGGGTGGTGGGAGAAACCGCCAGTCTCTCAGGAGAATCTGTTTAAAGAACTCGCATAGTCCTAGAACACAAGGGAACCCACCCCTTCTGGGAATCACCACCACAGGGCAGCAGCTGGAGGGATGCTAGCAGCATACAGGAAGGGAGTAAGGTGAGTGGGAATGGCGTGACTGCTGAGCAAAGCCTCCAGCAGCCAGACAGTGGCATTGTCCCCTCCTCCTCATACAGAGCCACAAAGCAGGGAAGTGGGTTGCCCCACTGTGGTGAATATCTAAGGCTCCACCCCATACAATTTAACAGGTGCACTAAGACAGGTAGTCAAAGTAGTTCTACCTTGACAGAAACAAAGACAAGGAGACTGCCAAATTGAGGAGACAAAGAAATGTGGCCCAAATGAAAGAACAGAACAAAACCCAATGGAGATAGCCAACCTATCAGATGCAGAGTTTAACACAGTGGTGATCAGGACACTCAGAGAACTCACTGAATTTGTCAAAAGCATAAAGGAAGAAATCAAGCCTACAATAAGAGAAAGAAAGAAAAATCCACATGGAACCAACAGTGAAGGGAAGGAAGGTGGGTTTCACATCAATGATTTGGAATATAAGGAAGAAATAAACAACCAATCAGAACAGAATGAAGAAACAGGAATTTTTAAAAAACAAGGAGAGAATAAGAAGACTCTGGGACATCTCCAAAAGTGCCAATACCGAAATCACAGGGATACCAGAATGAGAAGAGAAAGAGTGATAAATTGGAAACTTGTTTGAAAAAATAATGAAAGAAAATTCCCCTATTTTGCTGAAGGACATAGACATACAAGTCCAGGAAGCACAGAGTCACAAACAAGATGAACACAAAGAGGACCACACCAAAACATATCATAATTAAAATGCCAAAAGTTAAAGATAAAATCTTAAAATCAGCACAAGTAAAGCAGAGAGTTACCTACAAAGAAGTTCCCATAAGACTGTCAGCTAAATTCTCAATAGAAGCTTTGCAGGCAAGGGAGTGGTAAGAAGTATTCAAAGTGATGAAAAGCAAACTTACAACCAAGATTGCTGTACCCAGCAAAGCTGTCATTAGAATGGAAGGGCAGATAAAGTGCTTCCCAGACAAGATAAAACTAAAGGAGTTCATCATCATCAAGCCCTTATTATATGAAATATTAAAGGGACTTATTTAAGAAAAAGAAGATCAAAACTATGAACATAAAATGATGACAAACTCACAACTATCAACAAGTGAATCTAAAAACCAAAACCAAAAACAAAAATAAACTGAGCAAACAACTAGAACAGGAACAGAATTATAAATATGGAGATCACATGGAGGGTCATCAGGGGGAAGGGGGAAGAATTTGGGAAACGTGCTGGGATTAAGAAGCATAATTGGTAGGTATAAAACAGACAGGGGGATGTTTAGTATAAGAAACAGAGAAGCCAAAGAACTTATATGCATGACCCATGGACATAAACTTGGGGAGGGGGGGTTGTTGGAGGAAAGGGAGGTACCAGGGGGAGGTGGGCAAAGGGGAGAAAATTGGGACAACTGCAATAGTATAATGAGTAAAATATACCTTAAAAAAAGAAATAAGTATGTTACAAAGATAATGTATTTATAATAAATTAATTATAACAAAACTAGAAAGGTGCCCATACAAATTAGTATCTAAAATATATTATTTAATAAGCTATAGATTAACTGATGACAAGTTCAAGTTCATACATACTTGACTTCTGACGTGATCTAATTTCTTCTTTAAATCCTGTGACTCTTCCTCTAAATCCATACGATAACGTGATGTAACTTCCAGTGAGGCCTCTGACATTGATTGTTTTTTTAGGGTGTCAGCCAGTTCTTGTTGAAGTTGTCTCACCATTGCCTAGTAAGATATTTCTGTTACTGATTTTATAAATCACACTACTGGTTAATTATGTTAATAATATATAAATTCACATACGATGGGGCAAAAGGTTTATAGTTGTGAGTACAAAAAAAAAAGAGTTTATTCTTGTATTTTTATTAATTATTGTATCATTTTCCTATAAACAACTGTAAACCTAACTTTTGCCCCACCTTGTATGTGCTTTTTTAGAGTCATATATTATAACATAATATATAACTGAAAAAAACATCACCATATACATCATTTCACCTTATTTTCTTCATATGGACACATTCCTATTTACTGAGTAATCTGGCCTTGACCTCTCTTCCTGCTACATATAAATCCTGCCACCCCTCACTAGTCTGAATTGGAGAGCCAATGCTAAATTAATAAATCACAGAGAACAACAATTTTCTCTGTACTAAACAAACTTATCTCCAAATGATAGTAATTGGGTCTTGAAATGAGAAATATGAACAAATTATATGTAAAAATATTCAAAGAAAATGTAAAAGGTAGTAGAAAGATGAAATCAAGTACAGTTGCTAAAACTAATCACATTTGTCTGAAATTATGATTTAATGAAAAGTAGATGTCGTTAAAGAGTTGAGAGGTTATAAGATTACATTACTCAAGACTGAAATGTTTCCAAGTTTAATTCAAATTGACATGAATAAAAATAACATTATACCAAATAAAATGTATCAGAAACCACTGAAGGAAAAGTTCTATGAGATACAGAGTCTACACTTCAGTTCATTTGGGAAATCTGAAATCAGCTGTCAAGATAATTCGCTTAATTGAAATTTAACTTCAAAATACTCATTTTAGGTATGAACATTTCCTGCTTCATAATGCTACTAAAATGTAGTGACAGATTAAAATTAACATTGTATCAGTATAAGACTAAATGATTAATATCAATCTATATCTATTAACAACCTATGATTTACCTTCTTAACATTTCATAGGCAATACAATGTATTTACTCAAAACACCTCTTGGTTCTAATTTTCCTTTGCAGGATATACAAGGTCTGCTTTCAGGCTGATAGAGGAAACACAGTTATAATCTCGATATTTTTAATGTTCAACTATAGACTGAACATTTAGCCATCATCAAATACAATACTTGAATTTTAAAAGAAATTTGAAAAATGCTTATCATTTTTGGATACTTACGTCTCTTTCTGCTTTATCATTTTCACACTGATTCATCCTTTCTTTTAAATGATTGCACTCACTGATTAACTCCTTATTTCTTTCATTCAGCATAAGAGCTTGTTTTTTACTTTCGGCTTGAAATATTTTTATGATATCCTGAAACTGATCCTGAATGTTAATTACTGTCTTTTCTTTACTGTCAGCTTTATTGTGAGCATCATCCAGCTGCTGTCGCAGCAACACATTTTCGCTCTGTAGTTGAGATAGCCTCTCCTCTAAGGAGCCCTGTTTTCCAATGTATTTACTCACTTTACCCTGTTCCTTTTGATACATATGTTCGATTTCCTTCTTTTGACACTGTGTTTGGCTTAGATCTCTCTGTACACCCTCTAAAACCAAAGTCCTTTCTCTGAGAGCATCTCTTGTGTGATGAAGCTCGATCTCTAGGCTATTGAATTTACTTTCAGCTTTAGAAAGTTGTTGAGAAAGAATCTCGTTTCTGTCTTCCAGGTCAGACATGTCACAATTCATTTTGTCCCGTAAACGAAACCATTCATCTCTTGTTCTCTGGAAATCATGTTGCAGGTCTCTTTTTGATGCCTCACTTTGCTCATGGTCCTGTACAGCAGCAGCCAGTCTCGACCGGTATGATTCAATTTCTGTTTCCAGTCTCTCTTTGTTTTGTTGTTCAGTCTCCAGTTTAGACTTCAGTATTGTATTCTCCGCTGTCAGAACATTAAGCTGCCCATTATATTGGGATACTGTTTTTGTAAATTCTTCCTCATTTAGTTGTATTGTCTTTTGAAGAAGGTCATTATCTTCTTTGACAACTGCAATGTCCTCAAAATATTTTTTTTCCATTTCCTGGTTCTGATTTTTAATTGCATCTATCTCCAGTCTTAGTGTGGCAATTTCATCCTGTAACATATGGTTTTCATGCAACAGATTTTTTTCTTTTTCATAATTATCAGAAACATAAGAAAAATAAAGGAGACATGCAGCTAACACTCATTGAAATGACATATCATGATGTCTTCTGAAATTGAAGAGTAACATACATGTTTACATAATTAAAAGGTTACAACAAGTATATATCCCCCTGGAAAAAAGAGTTGGAGCCAAACCTCCAAATCTGTATAAGTGTAAATTCCCCAAAGTTCAGAAATTTAATATAAAATGATGAATCCATGAAATCAAAAAAGGAATCATGAGAGAAATACTAAAAATCTCTAAATTACAAAAAGGAATTACCCAGAAGGCATAAAAGATCAATAAATTTGACTACACTTAAAGACTGAATGTACAGTCTGAACACACAGCTACCCCAGAGTTAAGAGTATTAACACTGCACATATTTGAATGGATTACATTTCCCAATTATTTTTTCCTGAGAATATTCCATACATATTCTACTTATAATTTTATACTTATAAACACTACATTTACTAAAACCCGATAATCTAGGCACTGTCCTAAGCACTTCTTTATACATGAACTCTTTTGGTTATCACAATTTGGAATGGAGAGGTTAAACAAAAGAAGCCTTGTATTTCAAAACACTAAAGGCATATAAGGCAAAATTTGCAGAGCTATACTTTGAAAATCGTGAGATTACTTGCTGCTGCAATAACTTTTATTTCCTCTTCACAATGTTTAAAGTAGTAATAACTGTGAAATGGGAGAAAAATATGCTGAATTGCTTTACTAGGGAGAAAATACTTATCAATAAATTATCACTAAGTGTATGAGGGGGGACCTCAACATGGAATTTATTTATAAGAAATTGTATCTCTATGCTCATATGTTTAAACTTCAGTCACCTTCAAAGAACTCTTCATTTGATGCAATACACCTATCAGGACACTTTTTCTGCTGCTCAGTACAGTTTTTGAACTTGCCGATTTTGATGTCTTTTAGTGCTTCTGCCATTTTTTGTTTCACCTCTTCCATACCCGTAAAACGTTTCCCTTTGATGATTTTTTTTTCATCCGGGAAAACAAAAAAAGTCACTCAGAGTGAGATCAGGTGAATAGGAAGGGTGGGGCACAGGGGTCATGCCTTTTTTGGTCAAAAACTGCTGAAAACAGTGTGGTGTGGGCAGGCGCATTCATAAATCACCCATCACGAAATGGGAAAATACGTTGAAAGAGCCTTCAAAAAAATTTCCTAAAGCTGAACATAGCCTCTCACAGCCACACCAGGTGGTACACTGATACAGATGGGTTCCTAGAACACTCACCTAGCAGGGAAGCCTGTACTGCAAGGAGCCCCTTCTCCAGAAGATAATTCTGGGGTTTTTGTTTGTTTGTTTCTCATGGTACATTATGGCATATCACTGTTTCCAAAAGCTCCTTGTTCTAAAATGGGATACTACTTGGAGAAAACTGTTTCTTTTCTCAAAAGTAGGAGAATGGTATCTAAAATACGGTCTCTGAACTGGCTATACTTTTCCTCCTTACTATCAACAGAAGTGAAAATTAACCTCTCTTTCAATATATCAAGGGAATGAAACCAATTCTAAAACCTGGAATATCTGTCATTAATAGCAATGTTTTTAAGATCATGGAAAGCTCATCGGTCTTATAGAAAATATTAGAAGCCTCTCTCTGCATGAGGCCGTAGTGAAAGTCACTCCTTCAGTGTGGGAGACAAATGGACTTGAATTAAGAATATCATTTTAACCAGCAGGCCAAAAATGCTGCCCGACTTAGAAATTCAGCTTATAGTCTGAATATATAGAGCTCCACGGTAAGAGTTTTCACTCTGCATGTATTTGGGTGGATTAAATGTCCTATAATTGTTTTCCTAGAACATTTCTTAAATATTCAACTTTTCTAATACTCTCACGGTCAGTTTTAATAATTACATGTATTAATAAATGACCATGTAGGCATTGTGCTAAGAACTCCTATATACATCAATGAACTCTCTGAGTTACACAATGTGGAATAGAGAGGTTAAAAACATAAACTCAGGATTCTGTGTGTGTGTGTGTGTGTGTACATCACACACACAGATATTTTAAAAATACTCTCTATTTTCCATTTGTACAGTATTGGGTTTTTAAATACATACACAAATACATACACAAGAGTATTTGCAATCGACTAAGCAAAATACCTCAGAATTTATTTTGTCATGAGCTGTCTGTATCTCCTTTTGTTTGCAAAGGTGACTGGTCAAAATTTCCTCTTGCAATGTTCTGGCATTCTGTTCTCGAGAAAGTTGCCTTTGAATGTCATTTCGCTCTTCTATAACCTAGAGACACACTTCATTATGTTTTTGGTCTCACAGCATTAAGAGAAGAAGTCATAAGCTTATGAGAAGAACCTTAAAAACACTGTTAAAAGGGGGTAGCCTTTTTAAACACAAGGATCCTGTCTTCCATGAAAAACTCAAATCTTAATTTAAATCACAGCTAAATCTGTCAAACAGCAAAAACATAGTACTGTGAAATAAAATTTTTTTAAAATGACATTTGACTACTTCCATGATGGTCTCAAGACAAATAAATGTATGTTAACATTTCAAAAAGTGAAAATTAATATTTATGTTAATGGATAAGCTGAATTTACCTTCTATTTCTTTATAGCATTTATTAGATGCCAAGAATTGCAATAAATTTATAATTTTAATTATATATTATAGTTCACATTTTGAATGGGATAACATTAAATCAAAAGGATGTTATAAATATAAACATAAAACATTGTAACAAATGAAAAATTTCTGGAATTCCAAGATGGCTACAGAGTAGGTAGAAGCTGCACCCCTGCTTCTGACCCAAACCACACTTACAGCTAAATTACAGAGCAATCAACCTGAACAACCAACTGAAGGCTAGCTGACCTGAAATATTATAACTGAGGATTTCCAGAAGAAGCCACATAAGAACTGCTAAGAAGGACAAAGGCGGGGTAAGGCAGAGTGTCCCCCCACCTCACCTCCTTGCACTCAGGGGTGGAGTTGGTTGAGAAGCTTCAGGGATATTGCGGCTGCAAAACTCCCTCCCCTTTGGAGCAAGGGGCCTCAACCCCACACAGTAACCCCCAATCCAGAGCAACAGAGATGGGAAGAGGGGCCCGTGTAGCACCTGGCAGTGAAAATCAGTGCGGATGCATTCAGTCAGCCTGGGAGAGTCAGACTGCCCTCGCCCAGGGAAGAGCACTCCTGTTATTAAGCACCAGCCTGGGGAGTTGTGCTCTAGTCTCCAACTGCTGGTGAGGCCATAGATGGGGCCTGTGGAGGGGTCCCCTCTTAAGGGGACCTCCTTTTTTTCTGGGGAGGCTTTTGCTGAAGACTCAGACAGTGACTAAACTGTGTGTCTTGAGAAAGAGGGTCAGTCTCCTTCACCTCCAATGCACAGCTGGTACCCCTCCTCCGACCTTCTGAGGCACTCAGCCTTCCCAATCCCGCTGAGTTCTGCAGTGCATGGGAACCATGCAGAGCTGGGACTTTCAGCCCTGCCAAGACCTGCCACATGGAGAGACTGGAGTGCTGGGGAGGATGACCATAAGTCTGGTCCTGATTGGTTCGAGGTCCAGGGGACCAGGGAGCCATGCAGAACTGGGAGTTTTGGACTGTGTCTCTTGGGGAGGCTTCTGGCTGGGAGCCAGAGGTGCAAGTGCTGAACTATGTGGCTACATTGCAGGGAGGCAAATACAAACTCCCCTGAGAGTTCAGCTCATCCTACCCTGAATAAAGAACTGCCCACCTCCCTCCTACAGGCTTGCAGGTACCACTCCCAATAGGAGACTCTTTGGATCAGCCCTGCTAATTCCTGGATAGGCCTGCTGGGTGCAGGTCCATAGAGGGAAGGCAGAGCAGCTCAGAGTGGGGACATTCAAAGTGTGTGACCCTTGGAGGCTACTGACTGAACCAAGACAAAGTGCTTAGCTCCCTCCAGCAGGCTGGGCTGACATCATCCCTAACAGCAGACTCTTTTGATCTATGCCCCTGAGCCCAGCATGGTTGAGTTTACTCCTGCAGAGGGAACAGCTGGCCGCACTGAACCTGAACCTGCAGTCAGTTCCCCTACAGGGAACTAGAGTTAGAGACTCTGACAGAGACTGAGGGGTGTGGCTTTGAAGTATAGGTCACTTTCCCCTCGTTGAGTGCCTGACTATCTGACCTTCAAGTAGAAGATCCACTAGCCCTGTCCTCCCCTCCCTGGTTGCCCCGCCCTACCAAGCTCTCAACCTGAGAAAGGGGCTGTAGATCATGACTAGCCTGATTTCTTTGGAAGGCTCTGGAGCTAGACCTGGGCAACCATAGGGAAGGCAGAGTAGCTAACAGGTGGAGGCAGAGCTCAGGGAGCCTTAGTCTGTTTAGATCTGTCCCCAACCCTAAGCTGGAGGAAGCTGACCCTTTTACACAGATTGGCCCCTTCCATGCACACTCAGGTCCAGTAGATGGAGGCACAAACAGTGAACACTGTGTTAGCTACAAGCAGGTAGCCCCAAACCAGTTACACACAATGTCTGACAGCGACCTGGACCTGAATTCCATCCAAATGGATCCAGAACCAACACAACCAGTGATGGGCTATAGACCACACCAGAGCTCAACACAACTAGCCAAACAAGCAGCATACCCAAAGGGGGCTTCCGGCAGGCACCCAATTCTGCCAGGAACAACTCTGCCTCAGGGGCAGCCCCTGCACAGCACCTCATACACAGTGACTGAGGTTTAGCCTTACAGTCACCGGGCCTTAAGAATTAACTCCATCCACTGAACTGTAAAATGAGAGGAAAAGAGTACAATAAGTAACTGAGCAGAGCATGAAAAACAAGAGAGAAATAAGAGAAATGAGGAATGTCTAAGAAATCTCTGTGACAACAGCAAGCATAACAACATCCACATCAAAGAAATACCAGAAGAAGAAGAGAGTGTAAGCAAGAAAGAGAACCTGTTTGAAGAAATAATGGGAGAAAACGTCCCTAACCTAGTGAAGCAAAGAGCCACACATTTTAGAAAGCACAGAGAGTCTCAATCAGGATGAATCCAAAGAGACCCATAAAAAGACACATCATAATTAAAATGACAAATGTTAAAAACAGAGAATCTTAAAGGCAGCGAGAGACAGTAAGCCATAAGGGAGTTCCCATAAGGCTGTCAGCTGATTTCTCAACAGAAACACTTTAGGCCAGAAGAAATTGCAATAAAGTATTCAAAGGAGAAAAAGCAATGACCTGTAACCAAGATAAGGCTACCCAGCAAGGCTCTCATTTAAAATGAAAGGAGTGCCTCAGTCAATGTGGCTCAGCTGGTTGGGCATTGTACCCAAAATGGGAAGATCCCTGGTTTGATTCCTAGTCTGAGCGCATCCCTCAGTTGTGGGTTCAGTCCCCAGCCACAGTACATAGAGGAGGCAGCCAGTTGATGTTTCTCTCTCATATCCGCATTTCTATCCTCTCCTTATTCCTTTCTTCCCCTTTCTCTATAATCAAAAATAAATAAAATTGAAGGTAAAATAAAGAGCTTCCATGACAAAAATGGCTATAGGAATTCATTACCACCAAACCAGTATTTCAAGAAATGTTAAAGGGACTGCTTTAAAAAGAAGAAGAAATAGAGAGATAGAGGAACATAAATAAGACCCAACTTAAAAAAAGACATACACATGCTGAAAGTGAAGAAATAAAAAAACAGATTCCATGCAAATGTAAACAAAACAAAAAAAGAAGGTTGGGGTAGCAATAATTGTATCTGACAAAAGAGACTTCAAAATAAAGCCCATAACAAGAAACAAAGAAAGTCACTACATAATACTAGCGTGGCAAATCCAACAAGGGTATAAGCCTTGTAAAATTTTATAACACCCAATACAGAAGTACCTAAATATATAAAAAAAACCTTGGTGGACTTTAAGGGAGAGCTCACCATCAGTACAGTCATAGTAGGGGATATTAACACACCACTGTCATCAATGGCTAGACCCACCAGATGAAAAATCAACAAGGAAATGGCAACATCAAATATTACACTAGACTGGATGGATTTAACTGATAGGTACAGAACACTTCATCCCAAAGCAGTAGAACATACATTCTTTTCAAGTGCACATGGAATATTCTCAAAGACCACGTCTTAACAAATTCAAGAAGACTGAAATCATACCAATCATCTTCTTGGATCCCAATGACATGAAACTACAAATCAACTATAGTAACAAAACTAAGAACATTCAAACACATGTTAGATAATGAATGGATTAACAATGAGATCAAAGAAACCAAAAATTGCCTGGAAACAAATAAAAATGAACACATGATAACCCCAAATCTGTGGGACACAGTGCAAGTGCTGAAAGAAAAGTTCATAGCATTACAGGCCTATCTCAAAAAGCATGAAAACAGGGGGACAGTGACCAGAGGGGAGAGGAGAGGGAATTTAAGGGGAAAAAATGGGAGGGACTTAGAGGAACAAGTATAAAGGACACAGGGACAATAACTAAGGGGGGTGGAAATGGGAGGGAGGTGGGGTGCATGGGGGAGGGGTGGGCTGGGATGGGAGAAATAAACAGAAAACTGTACTTGAAAAATAACTAAATGAAAATTTTTCAAAAAGCATGAAAAACCTAGAACAATCTAACCCTACACTTAAAAAAACAGAAAAAGAACAACAAACAAAGTCCAGAGGAAGTTGAAGGAAGGAAAAAATAAATATGAGAGTCTAAATAAATTATCAGATTTTAAAAAGTACAAAGTATCAATAAATTCAAGAACTGGGCCTTTGCAAAGATAAACAAGATTGACAAACCTTTAGCCAGACTCATCAAGAAAGGAAAAAAGAGGACCCAAATAAATGAAATCAGAAATGGAAGAGGAGAAATAACAACTGACACCAGAGAAATACAAAGGATTGTAAGAAAATATTATAAACGACTATATGCCAAAGAACTGGACAGCCTGGTTGTAATGGATACATTTCTAGAAATAAACAATCTTCTAAAATTATGTAAGGGAGAGTCAGAGAATCTGAAAAGACAGATTACACCTACTGAAATTGAAGTGGTAATAAAAAAATTCCCGGCAAACAAATGTCCTGGACTGGATGGCTTCAAAGGTGAATTTTATCAAACATTCCAAGAAGAACTAACAACTCTCCTCAAACTATTGCAAAAAATTCAAGACAAGGGAAGACACCCAAGCTCATTTTATGAGGCCAGCATTACCCTTTTCCAAAACCAGATAAAGACACCAGAATTATAGGCCAATATGCCTGATGAACATAGCAGCTAAAATTCTCAATAAAATATTAGCAAACCAAATCCAGTAACACATTAGAGATATCATACACCATTATCAAGTGGGATTTATCTCAGGGATACAACGTTGATACAATATTCACAAATTGATATATGTGATATATCACATAAATGAAAGACAAAAATCACATGATCATATCAACACATTCAGAAAAAGCATTTGATACAAACCCACAGCTAACATCATCCTCAAGGGACAAAAACTAAGAGCACTTCCCCCTTATGATCAGGAACAAGACAGGGATGTCTGCCTTCACCACTCTAAATAAACATAGAACTGCCAGTCCTAGCCATAGCAATCGGACAAGAAGTAGAAATGAAAGGCATTCAAATTGGAAAGGAGGAAGCAAAACTGCATTTATTCTCAGATGACATGATGTAGTACATAGAAAACTCCAAACACTCAACCAAAAAAATTATTAGATCTAACAAATAAATTTTGGAAAGTAGCAGGAAACAAAATTAGCATTCGGAAGTCTGTGGCATTTTTATATACCAATAATAAACTATCAGAAAGAGAAACTAAGAAAACAATTCCATTTACTGCTGCAACAACAACAACAACAAAATAAGGTACCAGGAATAAATTTAACCAAGGAGGTAAAAGACCTGTACTCAGAAAACTATAGGACATTGAAGAAAAAACCGAAGAAGATACAAATAAGTGGAAGCATATATCTTGTCCATGGGCTAGAAGAATTAACATTATTAAAATGTCCAGTACTTGGTATTGCACATTTTAATTGCCAATATGCAATACCCAAAGCAATCTATAGCTTCAAGGCAATTTCTATTAAAATACCATGGCATATTTCACAGAGCCAGAACTAATATTCTAAAAATTTATATGGAACTTAAAAAGACCTCCAAGTTTCATTAATCTACAGAAAGTACAACAAAGTTGGAGGTATCACAGTACATGATATCACACTATACCACAAGGCCACCGTATTCAAAACAGTCTGGTACTGGCATGAGAATAGGCACATAGATCAATGGAACAGAACAGAGAGCCCAGAAATAAATCTATGCTGTTGTAGTCATAGAATATTTGACAATGGTGGCAAAAGCATACAATGCAGTAAAGACAGTCTTTTCAATAAATGGTGTTGAGAAAGTTGGACAGGTACATGCAAAAAATGAAACTAGATCGCCAATTTACACCGCACACAAGAATAAACTCAAAATGAATACAAGACTTAAATGTAACTCATGAAACCATAAAAGTCTTAACACAGGCAGTAAAATTTCAGACATCTCTCATAAGCAACATTTTTGGTGCTATATCTTCTAAGGCAATGGAAATTAAAGAAAAATAAACAAATGGGACTATGTCAAACTAAAAAGCTTCTGCACAGCAAAAGAAACTGTCAACAAAATGAAAAGGGAAAACTAATGTATGGGACAATATATTTGCTGATGATACATCTGATAAGGGGTTAATATCTAAAATACATAAAGAACTTCCACAACTTATCACCAGGAAGACAAACAACCCAATTAAAAAATGGGCAAAGGATCTGAATAGAAACTTCTACAAGGAGGACATACAGCCAACTGACATACGAAAAAATGCTCGATATCACTAATCGCCAGAAAAACACAAATTAAAACCACAATGAGATATCATCTGTCAGATGACTATCAGAATGTCAGAATGACTATCATCAATAAATCATCAAACAACAAGTGCTGCTCAGGATCTGGAGGAAAGGGAACCCTCATGCACTTTGGTGGGAATGCAGACTGGTGCAGCCATTGTGGAAAACAGTATTGAGTTTCCACAAAAAATTTTAAATGGCACTACCTTTTGACCCAGCAATCCCACTTCTGAGAATATATCCCCCCACTAAAAAACCCCCCTGAAACACTGATTTGAAAGAACATATGCACCTCCATGTTCGTTGCAGCATTATTTACAATAGCTAAGATTTGGAAACAGCCTAAGTGCCCATTAATTGATGAGTGGAACATTTACACAATGGAATACTATTTGGCCATAAAAAAGGAGAAAATCTTACCTTTGTGACAGCAAGGAAAGACCTAGAGATTATTACACTAAGTGAAAAAAGCCAGTCAGAGAAAGGCAAGTACCATATTATTTCAGTTACATGTGGAATCTAATGAGCAAAATAAACTGACGAGGAAAATAGAAACAGAGGCATGGATACATGGAACAGACTTACAGTTGTCAGATCAGAGGAAAGATGGGAAAGACTGGATGAAAGGAGCTGAAGGGATTAGCCAAAGAACATACATGCATGACCCATGGACACAGACAAGAGTGTGGTGATGGCCTGAGCAAAGGAGGGGATGGCAAGGGCTGGGTTAACATGGGCAAAGTGTGGGTAAATGTGACACCTGTAATAGTGTCAACAATAAAAACAAAGAAATAAAAAGTACAAATTAGTCACAAAATGTCATGGTGATGTAAAGTAGAGCACAGGGAATATAGTAAAAAATATCATACACAGTGTACATTGCCAGGTGGGAACTTGAAATATTGGAGGAGCACTTTCTAAAGTATATGATTGTCTAACCACTATGCTCTACACCTGAAACTAATACAAAATAATACTGAATTTAAACAATAACAGATTTTTTAAAAAAAGGCAAAGCTCTGTCTCCCCAAAGAGAAGCTCAGCCATTGCTTAGACACACACACACACAGAAAGAGAAATAAGACATTTTTACAAAAGATAAATTTACCTGATTTAAATTCTTTTTTACAATCTTCAAGTCCATGTCTAGTGTTCTAAGAGTGGTTTCGAGTTGTTGGTTCATTTCAACTACTTTTATATATTGCTCCTCTTTTTTTCTTAACTGCTCCCTTATTTTGTCATATAACACATCCATATTTCTTCTCTTCTCTTTTTCTTCTTTTAATGTAAACCTGCGGTTAAATATACTTATCTTAAAATTCAATTCATTGGAAAATTAAACGTTCATTTTATGATCTGGTTCCACATATGTTGATTTATTATGCTAATGAAATTCTCATGTTTTTGAATATTTTTTCTTTGCTAGGTCTCATGTTTTTATTTCTCACTTTAATCTGTTCATATATATATATATAATCTTTATATATATCTTTATATACATATCTGAGGTGCAGCAATGAAAAAACTTTGTATGCTTTAGTCAATAGTAATGTGATAAATACTGCAGAAAAACAGTTCTGAAATTATTCAGTAAAGGCAGACTTGAAATTACCCTTTTTTGCACAATCATAATTATTCCTCCATTAGGACATCACATCATTTAGGTACTAATTAGAAAGAGAAGTAGTTGTTTACAAACAGGTTTATAAATTCACTAGAAATAAAATTCCAGCTTCATAGAATATCACAGGTACCCCTAAAAGTGATTTGCATGCACGACAGCATCTGCAGGACCGTTTCACACAAGCCGTATCTGCTGGCCGCCGTGATCCAAGACCAGTCTGGGGAGTCTGGTATCTGCTGTTCTACACTTCTTATGTTTCTTCCTTCGTAACCTTTTAAACGTATCTTTTTCACTACTATCTATTTTATAAATCACTTTAAAATCCCTTTGGAATGAGACAGAATATTAATTAAATCAACAATAGAAAGTAATATGTGCTTTCAGTTCAGAACTTTTAGTTAGTTTTATCTATGTGTAAGAAAGGTGCTGAATAAACCAATCAGCCACCACTTCCATCCCAGACATATTAAAACTAAAACTGTATTAGTTGTTTAAACATTATTTTCTGTATTGGGAAAAATGACCATTTCCTACTCTGTTAGTGGGATGTTAACTGATATGAACTATTTTGTAACATAATTTAGGGATATGAACCAAACATCCTTTTTTAAAGTGCTTACATTTAACCAAATAACACTCTATTAAAGAATTCATTCAGAGTACATAATCAAAATGAAGAAATTGACTTATATAATAGACATTTCTGGCAGGATAAATCATAATAAACAATTATGAAAAACTACCAAAATTCAATTTGTTAAATAAACAATGAGGTTTCCATTTGGCGGACTTCTATATGGTCATTCAAATGATGATTTGAAAAATATACATTAACTTACTACTAGAAGTATGCACTGTTAAAAACTGTTATATTACTCCAAAAATGTCATACTCCACAATAGTAAAGAAATATTCTTCCCTGTAAAATCTTAGATGGTAATAAGGCAATTCAATTTTTTCCTGCATATACAAAGTATGTAAAAATAGAAGTATTTAAATACTTCTTTAAAAACAAATTACTCAATACCTCAAGTTGCAGAGTTCTTGTTCCCATTTCACTTTTTGATGCTCTAACTGTGATTTCATTTCTTTTGTTTCTGATAGCTCCTTTTGTAGTTCGCTATTCTTATTTTCCATTTTTTTAATTTTTCCTGTAAGTATTTCACAGTGATTTTTCTTAAGTTCTATTAATCTTTCATAGGAAAGAAGTGCATCTTGGATTTTCAGTAAGCTAACAGGATCTGCATCAGAAAGAAAACAAAAATAGAAAAAGATGAATACTTTTTGTGTATAAAGACTGTGCATTTTCACACTCATTCATACATTGAAAAAATATATATCGAATATATATGTGGAAGACATTATAGTAAGCTTGGCAAATAAAGCAGACAAGATCCCTGGCTCTTTAAAGTCTGTTAGAGGAAAAAGACAAATTAAATAACAATTATAAATTCAGGTAGATACTCTAAGCAAAAGAGTTATATGATCACGTAATAGAACTCAATCTCGACTGGGCCCAAGGAAGATTTCCCTGAAGATGGCTACAGTGACAAATGCAAGATGAGCAGGAGGAAGTTGGACAAAGGAGGAAGGAGAGCACTGTGGACTCTCTACAGCATGTGCTAAAGTTCTATGCAATCTGCATAGAGGGAGTAGTAGGTACTGATCTAACTTCCTACCTGAAATAAGCAAAAACAAAACAGAAGAAATACATTTAAAAATTATTTTCAAGACCACAAACTTCAGGCAGTGAAGGGCAATGATTCCTGAAACAAATGAAGTGAGTCTAACGAATGTTCCAGCTTACTGCCTTTAGAGAACTTCCAGGCAGCAACACAGGGAGAAGGAACTGAGGTAGAGTCCACCAGACTCATTGAGGTGATGAAACTAAGGGTCTGGAGAGACTAAGGTGGGCAGAGATCACAGGTTGGAACCCTTGAGCAGAGGGAACAGAACAGAAAAAATCCTGGAGGTAGGTCTGCAGAGCATACTGGGCTGAGTAATGAACAGTGCAGACATGGGGGAAAATCACCACAGACCAGGGAAAACAAACATTGCAAAGAGTAGAGGAAGCAGGACCTGGTGCTCACACAGCACAATGGTATCTATTCCCATTAGCCAGGCTGAAAAAACCCATAAGTCACAGGCTAATGAACAGAGTAGGCAGAAAGGTCTTGCCTCAGCAGTGGAGAGTAATTTGCCCTTGGCAGAGCACTGCTCTGGTTTCATCTAATATCATAAGAGCAAGACCAGAAAGGATCAAACTGTCTATAAGGAACTTAACTAAATTACAAATAAAGCTCAAAAGGATGAGTAGAGGCATGAAAGCTATTTTTGAAAAAAAAAATGAATTGCACTATAAAGATGAAAATTACAAATAATGTCTAACATGGAAAATGCCCTAGTTGGGAATAATTGCATATTAGACATCACAAAATACAAGGTTAGTACATTCTAATTAGTGAATTGTGAGAAAACTTAAATGGCTAATGTATAATCCCCCAAAAAGGAGAAGAAACAGACAGAAAATATTTGAAGAAACAATGACCATGCACTTTTTAAAATCAATGAAAAATATAATCCCACAGATCTAGGACAGATCTGGCTAATAGGGAAGAAGTGGAAGTAAATTATTATAATTTTCTTAGATTGTATATGATATACTGTAATATTACTTAAAGGTAGATTGTGATCATTGAAGGTCATTTATCACAAAACAACCCTAAACCAAGCACTAAAATAGCAAGAGTGATGCAAATAAGCCAAAAACAGAAATACAAATAAATAATAAAAATTAATTGATTAATATAAAAGAAGACAGAAAGAGATGAAAACAGGAACGAAGAACAGATGGGACAAAAAGAAATCAAACAGCATGAATGGCAGATTCAAACCTACTATATTCATAATCACATTAAACAAAAACTGTCTAGAAACCTCAGATAAAAGACAGATCGTCCAACTGGATAAAAAACCAAGACCCAACTACATTCCATCTGTAAGAAATGCACTTTAAACTAGTAGACACAATTTTTTTTTAAAAGCACAGAAATAAGATGTAAGACACTAACACCAGACAAAAGAAGGCTGAAGTAAGTGGCTATCTTAACACCAAAGTAGATTTCAGAGCAAAAAATAATATCAGGGATTAGTAAGATCAATGAATAATGATAAATTAATAAGGAACAGAATAATCCTAAATGATCATGTACTTAACAGTTTCAAGATACATGAAGTAAAAATTGATAGAACTGCAAAGAAAAATAGACAAATATACAATTACATTCTGAGATTTTATATTTTTAAATATATTTCATTGATTATAACATTACAGTTGTCTCATTTCCCCCTTCATTCCCCTCCACCCTGCACACCCCCTCCCCCACCATTCCCCCCGCTTTAGTTTATGACCACGTGTCTCAAGTTCTTTATATTCTATATTTCCCCTACTATTCTTACACTCCCCGTATTTTCTACCTACCGTCTATTCTACTTATTTTCTGTACCTTCTCCCCTCTTCTCCTTCTCCCACTCCCCTGTTGCTAACCCTGCATGTGATCTTCATTTCTATGGTTCTGCTCCTGATCTAGCTGTCCTCTTAGTTTGCTTTTGTTTTAGGCGTGGCTGTTAATAACTGTGAGTTTGCTGTCCTTTCACTGTTCATCTTTTTTATCTTCTTTTTCTTAGGTAAGTCCCTTTAACATTTCATATAATAAGGGCTTGGTGATGATGAACTCCTTGAATTTGATCTTATCTGAGAAGCACTTTATCTGCCCTTTCATTCTAAATGAAAGCTTTGCTGGATAGAGCAATCTTGGATGTAGGTCTTTGGATTTCATGACTTGGAATACTTCTTCCCAGCCCCTTCTTGTCTGTAAGGTCTCTTTTGAGAAATCAGCTGACTGATGGGAACTCCTTTGTAGGTGACTGTCCCCTTATCTCTTGCTGCTTCTAGAATTCTCTCCTTCATTTGAATCTTGGCTAATGTAATGATGTGCCTTGGTGTGTTCCTTCTTGGGTCCAACTTCTTTGGGATTCTCTGAGCTTCCTGGATTTCCTGGAAGTCTATTTCCTTTGCCAGATTGGGGAAGTTCTCCTTCATTATTTGTTCAAATAAGGTTTCCACTCGTGACTGTTCCTCTTCCCCTTCTGGTACTCCTATAATTCAGATGTTGGAATGTTTAAAGATGTCCTGAAGGTTCCTAAGTCTCTCCTCACTTTTTTTAATTTTTGTTTCTTCATCCTTTTCTGTTTGGTCATTTTTTTCTTTCTTCTGGTCCACTCTCTTGATTTGAGTCCCAGTTTCCTTTCCATTAGTATTTGTTTCCTGTTCATTTCTCTTCATTTTAGTTTAGCCTTCATTTGTTCCTCTAATTTGTGACTATAATCAACCAGTTCTGTGAGCATCCTGATCACCAGTGTTTTGAACTGTGCATCTGAAAGTATGGCTATTTCTTCGTTGCTTAGAGTTATGGGCTCTGGGGCTTTGAGTTCTTCTTGAGCCATATTTTGGTCTGTTTGCACCTGTAACATAAGAGGAGCAGAGCCTTAGGTGTTCACCAGGGTGGGTCAACGCATTCGCTGGTTTGTGATGCTTTATGTGGACGCGGGGTCAGAGAGGGAGCAATAGGGATCCCCTCTGCTGCTTCCGGCTGCGGGGTCCTGCGAGGTCCGTCTCACTGCTTGCTCCTTCACTGGTTTATTTGTGTGCAAATGTGTGACTGTGGTCAGCCCTCAGTGGGTCTGACCGCTACTCTACACCTGGGATCTCCCCATGGCTGCCAGTACGTCTGGGTCGCGCACCTGGGTCTGGTGGATCTTTCCTGCTTGACCCCACTCTACTTCTGGCTCTGCCTCTCTTACCGGTTTGGCTACAGGGTTCATTGTTGTCAGACTTCCATATAGTTCAATATTCTGTGGTTTGGCTGCTTTTTTGTCGCTATAACTTTGTTGTTTTTAAACTTGGTTGTGTGAGAAGGCACAGCGTGTCCACCTACGCCTCCATCTTGGTGGAAGTCCCATTCTGAGATTTTAATACCACTCACTCAATAAAGATAGAACAAGTGGGCAGAAAATTATCCAGGTTATAACAGACTCCTCTTTTCAAGTACCTATGAAACACCAAAAAAGACTACATTCTGGGTCATAAAATACATCTTAATAAAGAGTCAGTGAAAAGGATTTAAGTCATATAAAGTATGTATGCTACCTACAAAAATCTTAAATTGACAATGAAAACCAAAGTATCTCTGGAAAATATTCAAGTATTTGGAAACTAAGTAGCGTACATCTAAATAACCTCTGGGTCAAAGAGGTAATGGAAAACGATATCAGAAAAGTATTTTAGACTGAACATAAATGAAAATAAATACATTGGGCTTTGTGGAATGCTGTTATAGTAGTACTTAGTGGTAAAATTTACAGCACTGATGATCTATATTAAAAAGCAAGAAAGGTCTCAAATCAATGACTTCAGCTTCCACATTAAGAAATTAGAAATGGAAGAACAAATTAAACCTATAGCAACCAAAAGAGAAGAAATAATAAATATCAAAGACAAAATCAATCAGAGAGAAAATTAAAAAAAAAAGAGTAGAGAAAAACCAATGAAACAAGTGCTTTCCGAGAATCAGTAAAAGTAATAAACCTCTAGTCAGGCCAATAAGAAACAAGAGAGAAGGCACAAATTACCAAAATTAGAAATAAGTAATGTGACATTACTGCAGATTTTATAGAAAATAACAGAGTAATATTATAAAACTTATGTAAATAAATTTGACAATTCAGATGAAGCAGGTCAGTTCCTTGGTACAAATTACCAAAATTCAACCAAGAAAGAACAAATAATAAGCCAAACAGCCCTATATCTATAAAAGAATCCAAAGTCCTAGTTAAAGACCTTTCCAAAAAGAGAAAATTCCAGGCCTAACTGGCTATACCAGTGAATTCTACGAAACATTTCAGAAAAAAATCGTACCAATTCTACACAAATTCTCTTGAACAATGAAGAGCAGAAATGTGCCTCAACTCATTCTCTAAAACCCTGAAACCAAAACCAGACAAAGAAAGAAAGCTATGTCATGAGCATGGAGGTAAAAATTGCAAATAAAACATTAGAAATCAAAAGCAATAATACATGAAAAAGACAACTTGTCCTTCTAACCAGATGGGGAATGCAGGCTATGTTTGACATTCAAAAATCAGTTAGGGTAAAGGGGGACAAATACATACTGAGGGGAGG